AAAATAATAACAGTAATAAATTGATATTTGATGTGATTTTATAACAAAACATTATTGCTTTTATCACAAATCACTTTTCAGAATACGAAAGGAACTTGCGTCCGGCGCATGGTGCCCAAAACCACTAATTAAAGAAGGCTCATATGAATTCTTGGAGGTTTCTTTCATAATTGTTTAAAAAATTTAACCGTATATCATAGCCTCAAATGTGAATATTTATTTGTGAATATTCATTCGTATATTTTTAAATTTCGAATCAATGAAAAATTCGTTACTTTTTACTAATTTTATCAAAATGCAATCAGCAATTTGAGATTATCTTTGTTTTTAAAAGTAGAAGTATTACTAACTGATAAGTTTGGAATTTAAAACTAATTAATTTGAAAACAAATTTTATCACTTTATTTGCTTGATCTATTTACTTTTCATATTGAATATATGGCATTGAAAGATAAAATAAATTATTGAGTATAAAATTGCAAAAATTTGTGATTTTTAAGGAATTTTATAGATTTAAAAAAAGGAAAATTAATTTTAATGCTTGATAAAATTAATTTGAAGAAATATTTTAATTATCATTCAGAAATGAAATTTATGATAGTTCTGCTTATTTTTTAATCAGGAACAACTACTTTAAGATAATAGAGTATTTTCCGTTTTTTTTTCTTTTACTATTTCAGTAAGATAAATAAATGGTGAAATATATACGTGTAATGTAACGTTTACAACTAAATGTTTATAGACGTCAGACGATAGACGTTGACCGTTGGACGTTAGACGTTTATAAACGTTTCTAGAGATAATCTTATGGGAATGAATGGAAATTTGAACAACTGTTTCGCTTTTCAAATTAGAACGATAGCATTTAAAGAAGTAATCAATCAAAAATTTCATCTCTAAATGACAAGTTAAATGTTGTTCAAATTAATTTTAGCTAATGTTAAAACTAATTCTTTTTTAAATCTACAAAATTTTTTAATTTTCCAATAGTTTATGATTTCAACTTAAATGACTTGTTTTGATGGCAAAATGATTTTAATAATTTTAGAAAATTCTCATCAAACTTTTCATAATCATTTAGTATATAAAATATTTGATTTAAAAATAATAAGTCCAGTATATCATTATTTAATTAGTTAAAATGAAATTAACAATGCTATTTATTACGCAGTAGTAATTTTAAAAAATTTGTTATTTTCATATCATTTCTATCAACAAGTCTGTTTTTTTAACAAATTTTTAAATACTTAATTTATGTTTTTTTTTCTTCATTTTTTTAAACAAAAGATTGAAAATTTACTTTATTATAGTATTACAGGTAAATTTTGAGCAAATATATGTGATCACAGGAATTGAAACACAAGGTCGCTATGGAAATGGTACAGGTCGTGAATATACGACACATTATACAATTGAATATTTAAGATTGAATAGTTCATGGATTAAATATCATAATGAAGAATTAATTGAAATATTTAATGGAAATGATGATACATCGACCGCTGTACGACAAAATTTTATTCCACCAATTATTGCATCAAAAATTCGAATTATACCATATTCAAACTATGCACGAACAATGTGTCTTAGAGTGGAATTTTATGGATGCATCTATAACGGTTTAGTTTTTTGTTTTTATTTATTTTTTTGATTTCTTTTTTTAGGCATAAGAATGAACTGATTCTTAAAAAAATTGATCTAGATTGAGTATTTGTCAAAAAAATTGAGAAATAATTCAAATTTTTTTGTCGTTTTTCTTTTTTTTCTTTTTTTTTTTTTTTTTAGAATAAATTCATTCCATTCTTTTTTAATTTCCTTTTCTTCAATTTAAAAAAAAAGAATCTTTTTTTGCTTTTTAACAATCAGAAATAATCGGCTTAGATGATGGTCATAATTTGAATATTAAAATATCAATTTGATATTAGAATATTGGATCGTGATATTAGAATATATTAGAATACAAATATATCACACTGGCAAATGACGACTAATATTAGAATATCAGTCACTTTTTTCTTTTTTTTCTCTTTTTTTCGAAAAGTAAAAAAAGAGATCTCATAAAATATTTTAACACTTTAACAGATGGTTTAATGTTCTATTCGATGAACAACGATGGCTCCAGAATTGATAATTACGATTTTCGCGATAAGACTTTTGAAAAATCAAATATGTTTAGCCATTTTACAAATAATAAAAAGTATGTAATAAGAATTTCTTGGTATCATTTTAGTAATTTTAATGAAAGAAAAAATGATTTCAATTAGAATAATCACTATTATATTATTGTTTCTTCAATTTAACCTATGCTTTAGTGACAGTAAAATTTTTAAGTTTTTTTTTTTTCTAATTAAAATCATTTTACTAAAAATTTGCAAAACAAACTTTATAATCAAAATTTTTGCGAAACTGAAAATTTAATTAGCTAAAAGTTGAAAATTTAATTAACATGAATGCAACTAAATCATTTTTAGTTAAAATGTTTATTTCATTTTGTTTACAATTATCTGCAGAATGGTGGAATTTCATGAATGAAATAAGATCGTCAATTAATAATGATAAATGATTACTGAGCTATGTAGTTATGCAATTAGTTTTTCATTAATTAATTCAGTTGGAATTTAAAAAAGCCTTGAATAGTTTTTGCTTTAATATATTTTTTTTCTTGTTAATTATTATTTATCATATTTTGGTTTTTAATTACTGGTGTTGCATTCAATCTTTTAGATGTGCTATTTGTTTGTTTTTTTTTTTATTTAAATAATTAATTGAATTTCAGAGGTTTAGGAATTCTCACAGATGGTGTCATTGCAACAACAAATCCATTGGATGATATCACTGATAGCGATAAAATTACACCAACAAGATGGATTGGGTGGAATCAATTGATAACCAGTAAAAATTATCGTGTAATAAGGATCACATGATTCATTATTAATAATCTTTTAATAAATTAAAAAAATCGATTTCAAACATGAGACTTCATAAGTTTAAATACAGTGCACGAAAATATTAAAAGATTATTATGCGCGGTATTCTTTGATGTCAGGTTTTTAGCTAAAATAAACATAGTAGTAACTTATTATATTATATATAAATATGCGTAAACATACATATAATACACCAAAAAAAAAGAAAGAGTAATTCATAAGAAATCTAGATGGTACGGTGGAAATTGTTTTCGAATTTTCTGGCATTCGAAAATTTACACAACTTGAAATTTGGACCTATGGAATATCATTACGAACAACGGAAATATTTTTTAGTCATAATGGCAAAAAATTTTCGCTTGCTTCACAAATGTCATCCATACAAGTAAAATTTTTCATTTCATTTGTTTATTAATTATAAAAAAATTTTGGTAATAAATTTTAAAATCTTGAATTAATTTTAATAACAAAAGAGTTGTTGTATTTTAGCGAAGACCATTGGATGCAGTACGAAATTTACCAATACGAATACCACTTCATAATGCAACTGGACAAGCAGTAAAAATGAAACTCAGCTATAAAGAGCAATGGCTTTTTCTATCTGAAATATACTTCACATCAAGTAAATTTTTATTTTTTTTCAATAAAAAGAAATAAAAAACTTAATTTTATCATTTAAATTCATTTAGTTTATTTATTGTTTCAAACCGATCAAAAAATTGAAGAAAACGAATAATAAAACATAGTTAATTGAAACGAACTTTTATATATTTTTTCTTTTTATTACACCAATAATTTTCATTATTAAATAATTGTTTGTGTTAATAGATCTTTATGTTTTTTTTTAAAAAAATGTAATATGTACAATATTTTTTGATTATAAATAATTTGTATTAATTTTTTTTTTTTTGTAAATGAATTAAATTGCACTAAATTCTTGTGAAAAACAGTCAAAGTTGTAAAATACAAATATACTCAAAGTGTAACAATACTTTTTCCCTTTGCTTCTAAGATTAAATTTAAATTTCTTATAAAAAAAAATAATTTTAGCCTTTTCACAAAGTAATTTTTATTTTAACCTAAGCATTTGTTTACCATTTTTTTTTTCCTTCTTCCTATTTTCTTCTCATCTAATCTTATCAATAGCTATTTTTTGCTTCATAAAATCTTACTAAGAAAAAAGAAAAAAAAAACGAAATTATTCATAATTTCATCATGCATTGAAATAAATTTGAAGTAATGAAATAAAAGGAATTAAAAATTTTGAGGCAAATTACTTTAGGCATCGTTAGAAAAGCAATTGAATCGACGCGAATTACTACTACTACTATCATCGCTACTACTACTACTGCTACTGCTACTGCTATTATCATCAGTTCTGTATTTGGTTTGAAAAAAATAAAAATTAAAAAAAAAAGGAAAAATTCTTCTTCCTTATTTTGTTCTTTTTTTTTTGCTTGCAATATTATTAACTTTTATCGTATTTGCTTCATTTCCTTCTCTTTTTTTTTTTGCTTTTGTTTTTATTTTTCTTCTCTTTAATATATCAAAAATTAGCTTTTAAAATTCTCAACTAATTATATTTTTCAAAGCCTTTCTTTTCTTGAAAAAAAAAGAAAAGAAACAAACATTCTTAATTTATTCAAACTTCCAATTTATTAATTTTTGTCTTTTAAGTTTTTTTTTTCTTTTTCAAAAAAAGAATGTCAAAAGATATTATAAAAATAATTCATAAAGCAGTGCTAAATTTAAAAACCTTTAAAAAAAATCATTTGTTTTAAATTAAGAATTTATAATTAAATTTATTTCAATTAATTGCTTATTGCAAAAGTATTTAATTGAAGACTGAATAGTTCATCAAATATCACAAATTAAGTGATGCACATTTAATAAATGCATCTAAGATATAAGAAAAAGCGAAAATAATGATTAATTAATAATAAATAAATAACTAATGAAACCTGATTGCCTATCCAGTTTATAAAAAAAATATTCGAAAATTAAATTAATATTCGAAATTAAAATAATTTCTAAATTGGGAATTCCAATTAATAAAAGAGGGATAATTATGCAATAAAATAATGCGATGAAAAATTTCAAAAATTCCACAATGGATTAATTATACTTTGATTTGGCGCTAATACATTACCCATTAATAATTGTTTTTTTGTGATAAAATAAAAATAATTCTCATACAAAAGTTTGATGATTCATTTGATGAAAAATTATTTTAAACGGGAGAGGTTTTTTTTTTTCTTTTAAAGGAATAACAATAAAATTTTATTTTTTTTATAGCATTATAAAATCACATAAGTTTAATCTATCTTTCAGTTATTTGCATTTTTCAAATTAATTTGCATGTCTTAATAATGCCACTTTTTAACTATTTGCTTTTTCAATCAAACAATTTATTAATTTAATTTTTATTCGTGAAAGTAAATTTCAGGCATGTTTAATATAACTTCACCAACAACAATTGAAGAATCCGCTGGTATCATCCCGATTATTTATTTCATTGGTAAATGTATTTGATTAAAATATCTTATTAGAAAAATCTAGCAATAAAATTTATTTATACTTTATGATTTATTGCTTCTACTGTTTTATTATTTATAATTTTTTTATCAATAATCCTATCAGTGTTTATACAAATTATTGATTAATAATATTTGACATTCATTTGCATAATCAAGTCTTTAAAAAAAGAAAATAAGAAAATTTGATCAATGATATTTAAAATCTCATCACTGAGGTCATAAAAGATGACCGTGAAATCTTATAAAATTTATATCAATCAAAATTTATATGCTTAAATTTAATGACATAATATTTTTCTTTGTCAATTTAAATGACCTTTAATTCCTTTAAAATAATCAATCATTCAATTGAAATATTGCTTCTGTGGACAGAATTTAATTTATTAATATACAGCAAACTTTTTCTTTTCTCTTTAATAAAAGTAATACTTTAATAAGTATGAGTAAATTAATTTTTTTAAAATTCTAATTATTATAGGTTTGGTAATATTATTCCTACTCATAACTTGCGTGCTGTGTGCAATTTTAATTTCACGACGCCATGAACCAAATCCAAAGAATTACAACAGTGGAAGAGCAAAGGTTATGGTAACAAGCCTAGGCGAGAAGGGCTTTTGCACTAATTTCTGCGATGCAAACGACATTGATTACCTTCAAATTCAGAATAATGGCTTCTGTGCTGATGAAAAGTTAGTTTTAATGTATGCGCGTATTATGTGTGTGTGTGTGTGTGTGTGTGTGTGTGTGTGTGTGTGTGTGTGTGTGTGTGTGTGTGTGTGTGTGTGTGTGTGTGTGTGTGTGTGTGTGTGTGTGTGTGTGTGTGTGTGTGTGTGTGTGTGTGTGTGTGTGTGTGTGTGTGTGTGTGCATATTGTGCATGTATGTATGTGCGTGTGGGTGTGTTTGTATATTTATGTATGTGTATGTCTAATATGTGTGTGTGTATCTGTGTGCATGTGTGCATGATGTATGTGTGTATGTGTCTGTCTATGTGTATGTGATTCGCAACAAAATAATGATTTTAAAATTACGACAGATAAAAATGCTTCCTTCGTTAGAATGAACAAAATATTAAAAAAATGAAGTATTTGAAATTTTTAAATGTTAAAAATATTTTATTTGTTTGTGTGTGTATGTATGTATGCTATCAAATTTTTAAATTACAATCTTTTTTAAAAAATTTCTAATTTAATTGAAATGTAATTATTTATAATAATGCATTCATATTTATAATTATAATATTCATTCTTTTTTTCTTACAAATTAATACTGTTAATAAGTTCTAGGAAATTAGCAACTGTCAATAAACGAAATAAGAAATCTCCATCATGGTCTGATTTTCATTTTCCACCTCCACCTTCAGGTAAGATTTATTTCACAAATTTATTCTCATTTGAATTAATCGTAACGTATGACATTATTAATTAATGAGATTATGAAAATTAAGTAAAATATCAGTTATCTAAAATTTTGATATTTCAAGCTCCTTCTATTTGATTTGATCAAGTTTATGACACTATTAAGCATAGGATAATAATATTGAACTAATTTTATTACTAATTAATATATCCCCTTAATTGTTAATTAATTAAATGAAGCCTTAAGCTAAAACACGAGGTATTCAAAATTACAAATATATTTCCAAATATTTACAATAACAAAAATAATGAAAATTTTACAGATATTTACGGTATTAATGAATCAACAACAATGGAACCATTACTGCTACCCAAAATACCTGTATCACCTGTTGTTCCCATCGTACGAAACATAAGGGATGATCACATCAGATCTAAAAAGTATGCTGCATGAGTAATTTTTTATTTAAAAATAAAAGTTTGGCTAAGGCAAACTTTTATTTTTCTTTTTTTTTTTTTGTTATTTCATTATCACTACGTAATTTCAAAGAAAAAAAACGGATGAATAAATTTGGAATGTAGAAATAAACAATTTAATTGCTTAAGAAGATAAATGGCAAACAAAAAAGGAAGAAATTAAAAAATATTTTCAGACGTAAAAATCAGAAAAGAAGAAGAAATCGAATAATTAAATTAATTAAAAAGATTAATGAGATTTGATATTATTATCCTTTTTTTCAAAGCATTTCACTGAATGTTTTTGTTTTTATTTATTTAGAATTAGCGCTGATGATAGTTTACATTATGCTACTGCAGCTGTTCGAATTCCCGACTTGTATGTTTAGTGCGATCTTTATTCTTTTTTTTAAAAAAAATTTTTTTCTTTTATTATTGCTACCAAAGAAAGAGGTTATAAATTTCCTGTTCAAAAATTTGAATTTTACTAAAAAATAATGTAGTTTTCTTTTTCAAAAAATAAATTTTTTTAGTAAAGTAAAGCGACGAATTGAAAAATTTCATATGGATCAGATTGTATTAGGTTGTGAATTGGGACGTGGAAGATTTACGGTAATTCGATCGTGTTCTATTAATGGTAACAATTATGCAGCAAAGATAATAACAGACAGAAATAAGCAAACAATGTAAATATCATTTCCTATTAATTTATCAAATAATTAAGTAACAAAATTGTTTCGTTTTTTTTTTTTTTTTTTTTTTCTGCGATTGATAGAATTGATAAGAGTTCTAAGAAATGACTAAGAGAAGTTTATTCGAAACAAAAATATGCATTTCTTTTTTGAAAATTGTTGATATTACTTTCATTTCATCCATTATATTCTACCTAAATATTTGAAATGAATGCAAATTTTCTATTAGCTAAGTTAGCACATTCTCATTATATTATTAATATGAAATTTGAAAATGTGATTAGAAGTATGAAAAGAGAAAATAAAAATTTAGAAATGAAAGTTTATTTATAAAGAATAATAGATAATTTAATCATTTTCTTTTTTTAGGTTAAAAAGAAAAAAACTTTCTCTAAATTTCTAATGCAGTAATGAATCGTTAATAAATTAATGGTGAAAAAGCGTTTGATTAAATAATTTCAACAATTTTTTTTTATCTTTTAGAAATGTGTTCAATGATGAAGTGAAGATATTATCAGAAATTAATCATGAAAATCTCATTAAGGTTGTTGTATTCGTTTCTATTCTATATATAACTTTTGACCTCTTAATGAATTGAAATTAGCCTCTCATATTCATCCTATGTCATTTGATCTTCTAATGCTTTCAATTAAGCCAATAAAACCAAAGCTAATTAAAAAAGTAAAAAAAAAAAAAAAAAAAAAAAAAAAAAACTTTCTGGCTAGTAAACCAAAACAACAATCTAATTAAAAATTTTCAAATCGTTTTAAATTATTCATTTTCAGTCATTTTATATATCAATATATTTAATACCAAGAATTAGCGATATATTTTATTAATTAAAATTAAATTTTTAGCTATATGGTATTGATGATAATTCAACAATGTATCTTGAATTAGCGCTATATGGCAATGTACGACAATATTTAGCTCATAAGCCTGAGATCAGGTTTGAATTTTAATAATTTTTTTTAGTCATTGAATTTAATCAATGCTTTCTTTTTCAATTACTTATTTATTTATAACTCTAATTATTTATTTATTCATATTAATTATTTATTCACTTTTTTTCTTAATTTGCTCACAAATTTTTACACATTTCTCTCATTTTTAGCTTTTTAAACAAATTACAATTGGTGATGGAAATAGCCGCCGGGATGAAATATTTGGAGCAAAAACAAATTGTTCATGGACATTTGTCACCTCAATGCATTTTAATTGATCAAAATAAAATGATCAAAATTGCATCACCACGAGGACATCTTCATCACGCACAACTTCGTTATAGTGCACCAGAATGTGTTATTGCTGTTTGTTTAAATTTTTTCTTTTTTCGTGATTAATTTTTAGTTTGCATAAAATTCCACTTTCTTTTTGTCTTAAGAAAAAAAAAAAAAAGCAAAGAAACTTTACAATTAAATAGAGCAACGTTTGAATTAAAGTTGGTATAATTAATTTTGTGGGTAATAATATAATTAACTTTAATTTTATAAGTAATGAAATGATTGATTGATATGTGTGGAAATATAGCATCGTTAAAATGTTCATCGTATTCAATATGGGTCTTAATTGTAGACTTTTTTTTTAAAATAAAAAACATTAGAACTTATTCTTAGGCTGGAAATGAAAGACAGAGAGAGGACGTTATTTATTATTTATAGATATGACAATTTAATCGAAATAGGTAACACGCTATAGTTAGCAATAAATCATAAGGAACTCATATAATTCAAATTTTTGGCATAAAAATTTTGTTTATTAAATATAGAATTGAAGTTTGTTTTTTTTTTTTTTTTTTGTAAATAATATTTTACACTTTTTATCTGAAATAGATATTAAAATCAAACATTGGAATTTAAATACTAGGAATGATATTATTTTAGAATGAATGGAGCAATAAGAGTGACGTTTGGTCATTTGCTGTGGCAGCATGGGAAATTTTCAATGATTGTACGATGATACCATTTGCTAAATTGACAAATGCTCAATTACTTGAAAATGCTAAACATATCTTTAATGGACATAATGCGGTTAGTTTCTTTAAATAATCCTTTTAATTTTTAAAATTTGTAATTTAGACATAAATTATTATAATTCTTCTTTTGTAAATAGTCATAATAATGATAATATATGTATTTTCACTAACACAGTTTATCCAATACGCAAAATAAATTAATTGTAATTAAATGCTTGAATTGTGATTTTTAATATTGTTTATAGCATTGTTTATTTAATTACATATTTTTTTGATATAATCATTTTATTGTTTAAATATTTTGTTTATGGGAAATTCTTTTTGTTTTTAATAAGGCTTTAGGCTTATAATAATAAGTCACTATTATTATTATTATTACATTTTTTCCCAGCTATTTCTGTCTGTATGACAATGGAATAAAATAATTCAAAAAATAGTGGGAAAATAATTATAATATTTTAGACGTAATAGCAATAAATAATAAAAGAGAATCAATGAAAATGATTAAAAGGAAAAAAAGACGATCAACTTTCCCTTCCATAATCTTGTTTTCATAAAAGTTGATGTAACCCACTATGAATTCTGAGATTTCTTTTATCCAATTTAAAAAAAAAAAAATCATCCAATCAAATTTATCAACCGAAGAAATTGACCTATATCACTAGAAGTAATGTTTCAAATAGCAACTTTTCAAGAAAAGGTTACGCTTTAATAATGTCATTAATAAAAGTTTTTTTTTTTTTTTTTTTGAACTGTTGACTATATTGCATTGTAATTCGTTTATTATTGAAACAACAGAAATGGACGAATAGCAGAAATCTTTATAAAATATTCGTTTTTCATTTTTTTTTTTTTGGAAATGAAATGTTTAACTAAATTAAATTAAAAGTAAATTTAATGCACCAATAATAGAAAACATCATTTATAGTAATATATTAGGGATAAATGTAATAAGAAAAGTAAACAAGTGGACTATAACTTGTTAACTAGTAATTGTTGTGCAAAATTAAATTGTTTTTTTTTTTATTTCAAAAAAATTCAAAAATAAATTCCTTTAATATTTTTTGTTTCTTTCTTTATTGTTAAATTAATTGTTGAATTTCAGATATATTTAGAGCTTCCCATCCATTTACCTCAACAGGTATCGAATCTCATTGGCGAATGTTGGCAAAGGATATCAAACGATCGACCAACATTTCTCGAAATTCAATACGTTTTATCAATGATACAATCGGGTTTATCCATTTCTAAAAAGATGTAAAACTATGTAAATGTTTTTTTTTTTTTAATGAATGCAAAATTTGATCAATTTTTATGGATCATTCTAGTTAATGACGAAAAATACATTTGAAATTTTTTAATGAAAATCCCTTCGGTTTTATTTATTATTAAAATGAAATTCATTAAAAAGTTGCTTGATGTATATATATATATATATATATATATATATATATATATATATATAAAGTAGCTTTTCCATTTATCTATCATCATTAATTTGTATGAATATTATCACCAGATTATTTTATACATTTTAATTTAAATGTTAAAATTAATTCTAAAAAATCCAAAATTAAAAAAATTTAAATCAATTTAAAATTAAGTGGATGAAAACATTCTACATAATCATTTTCTTTCTTTTCTGTATTAAATAAAGAATGTAATAATTATTTCGATTGTTTTAAATTTGTCTTTTGTTTTTAAAGGATGTAATTTTTTTTTCTGATCAAAATTCACTAAATGTATGATAGTCTTATGCAGGGTTAATTTTTGTTTGTTTTTGTTTTTTTCCTTTCCTTTTCTTTTTTGCATATGTTACTTGGTGTTCTTATTTTTGTGTATGTAATAAATGAAAGTGTTATTTTGTCCGTTATTTCTATAACAAAAAGAAGTGTTTTGTAAATTTCAAAAAGTTAAATTTTTTTTTATTTCAAATTACTTTTGTACAAAATGCAAATTTTGTCACTTTTAAGTTGACACCACATTAAATTTGTAAATCTGATCATTTTGATTGACAGTCTAGTATTTTACTCTTTCTTTTTCTTTTCTTTTCTTTTTTTTTTTTTTTTTTTTGATAAATTCATTTCTAAAATAAGCCGAAGATTGTCATCTTAAGCTGACAATTGTTTTTATTAATACCTAAAAGAGACTAAACAGTTTGTGACAATTCATAATTAATAAACTGGAAATTATCAAAAAAGAAAGGAAAAAAATAGAGAATACTGAATTGAAAATAACAGTAATGTAATTTACGGTGTAGTATTTTACATTCCAATTGAAGCTACCAGAAATTTTAAACTCTTATTCATTATTAATATATTTATTGTATGTTGTTCAGAGAAAATTGAAGATTTAAAATTCTGATATAAGCAATGATTTGCAATGGTATTTGATAAATTGACAAATTGATAAATTCAAGGAAGTATCGTCTTAAATTTTCGGCAAAAGCACTTGCAAAAAGAGAAAAAAAGGAAAAACGGATTTAAAATACTTCAGCAAAAATACGAAAATACCAGAAAGTTTTGTCTTCAATTAAAAAAAATTTTTATAGATTAAATTATTTTATTGTTTCCTCTTTGTAATGCTAAAAAAGGCATTTTAACTCATCAACAATCTATTCAATTTATGGTAATGGAACCAATGGAATGTTATCATCCTAATCTGACAATTGTTTTTATTGTTAAGACAAATTAGATAGATCACATGATAAGATCATTCATAATTAAAGAACTGGAAGTGAAATTATCACAAAAAAAAAGAGCATTCAATTGAAAATTTAATTGTGAGTTTTTTTTTTTCCTTTACAAATGCTAAAAAAAGAGCAAATTAATTACTTATTAAAAAATTAAAATAATTAAATAATGATTGAACATTTTCAAATTCAAGCTACTACATTTAAATTGGCTACTAAAATATTAGCAAAAATTAGTTTCCTGAAGAATAAAGTGATCTTTTATTTTTTAAATTTCTGAAAATGGATTCAACGAATAAGAGATCATGAAAACCGTACTTTCGTTCCATTACACCATACCAGAATGATTTATCCATTTTGTGCGCAAAAATCAAAAAAAAAAAAAAATTATCAAATTATCGGGGACGGTTTCCTTTCTTATCCTCATTGACCAGTTTTTTTTCAAAAAAAAAAAAAAAAAAAAAGAAAAAAAATGGAGAAAAAAACATCTCCTAATCAATTTTAAAAATTTGACCTAGAAAAAGAAGTCGACAGATTATTGAAAGAAGATTAGAAAGTTGCTTAATTCTAATCAAGCTTACACGATAATTTTACATTTTAAATTTATAACCACTAAGGAATATGTCAAATTAAAAAAAAAATACTATTATACTACCTGAATGTTAAAAGCCTCTGATTTTTTTCTTTAATTAAATATTCAAACTTAATTTAATTTAAATAATTATTTTGCAAAAATTGCTTTCTGTTTTCTATATGGAAGAAGAAAAAAAGAAGATTAATATTAGTTTGTTATGATTTGGTTATCAGTTATTAACAGCACAATGCTCTCTCTATTTCCGTCATACTCTTATCATACTTTTATTATTTAATGAAGTGATATATTAACAGTTTATAATACAATATGTTCACACATATTTTGTACATTACCACAAATCAATCATTCAGCCATTTTTTTTTACGTTTTTGCTTTTTTCTCACTTTTAATTTTCACAAAAAATATTACGCAATTCTTTGAATCTTTTTTTTTTACAAAAAAACACAAAATATAACGTAATAGTGAAACTTTTCAATGAAAAGAAAAAGCAAGTGAAAAAAGAAAGAAATGACTGGAAAAGTTTACTTCATCATATTATTAAAGAATAATTTAAGAAAAAAAAAAATGCTATGAGTGATAACATTAAACAAATGATTTGATCATATTTAATGAATGGACAATTTTTTTTGTCACCACTTAAAATAATATCAACTAAATTTCATCCCACCTACCAGTTAAGATTTAAATTCAATTTAGTAAACAAACATTACTTCTTACCACTTACTTTATACTCCACATTTACATCCTTAGCAGACGTTATTTTATCTCTCCCACTCATTTACATATCATCGAGATCCATGTGAATTTATATTGTAAGACGAGAGGGAATAGATTGTGTGTGCATATATGTGCGTGCGTGTATGTATGTGTATGTGTATAGAGAAGAAGTGTCACCCTTTTCCTTTTCTTTGCAATATGACTTTTGTTGAGGTGTCACCTCTTTCCAGAGCATTAAGGACAACATCAAGCAAGCGTTCACTCTACCACTGCTTGCGACAAAAAGTGCCACGTATAGCACGGAGACATCCAGAGAGGTGTGCAGGACATACGTAGGATGAGTAAAGAATAAAGGTAAAGAGAGATACGAGAGGGAGAGGAGAGGGAAGAAAGTAAGGTTAAAGGATAGAGTAAGAGTACGAGTAAGGTAGATAGGTAAGGAGGAGGATAAATGAGAGTGAAGTTAGACTAAGGATACGGCAAGACGATAGGACGAGGTTGAGTGGATAAATTAATTGTTATGATGATGCCATTCCGATGCTCGTCGCCCGTTTGTCGTCCCCTCCGCTTGTCACGAGAGGTTATACTCTATCCTCCCTGCGTGTTGTTAGTATTGCTCCATTGAAGCTTACCGTTCTGCGCGCACATACACAGACAGACAGACACGCACATACGTCTACATACATATGTCGAGTGGAAGTGGAGGGGAGTGTACATAGATAGACCCAACCGACCGGCTACGACGACACCCGAATAGCCTTCTTCTCGCATTGATCGTATGTGTATGTGTATGTAAATACGTGTAGATAACAGGCTGAACACGGAGAGCACAGAGAGTGCAACAACAGCAGCAGTAGCAGCACTGCCACGGCAACAGCAACGATATGTTGACGTACGCTGCGTTGCGGACACGCGCGCGCACGCCCCACCCGACCAGCATCACAACTACTATCTTCGCCAGCATCCGCGGCGGTGGTGGCACTGACAGCAGCACAGCACGAGAAGAGGGTCCCCTGCTTTACCACCCATTACGTCCTATCCGAGCTTAGTTGTCCTGTAATATATCATTGTGACATCATTTTTTTGGTAAGTATAAAGTTATCTTTTGTTCTGTTCATTAGCAAATATTATACGTACGTGTATATGTGAATATATTCATTATTATTGACTAAAAAAAAGAGGAATAAGCGCGCGTTATGAGGTAACCAAAGCATTAATAATAACAGATTATATCATTTCTCTTAAAAAAGCAGAAATAATTTTTTAACAAACGTGGCATAACTAAATTATCTCGAAATAAAAAATTTCTGAGAGTCTGTTGCAATGTAAGGCGGACTTAACTGGAATATTACAATCGTAAATTATATAGCCGTAAGTGATCACTTCATTTTGGTCTACCTTATCGTGTAAACGGTGACGTAAGCGACGGCGGACAATGACCAAGTTTTGCGGTCATGTACTCTAGCTAGCCCATTATGAACATTCTTCATCCATTTTGCGGGAAACTCTTCAAATTTTAATTGACAAATCATCCAACTTCTCTGCTGTGTCATCATTTTTTGAGTAATATTCACTGACTATTTTGTTCAAGCTATGTTACGTTACATTAATATGCGTATTTGTGATGCGATAAACACATGTCTAAATTATTTCAGCTTAAGATAAAAATAAGTTTGCATGATACATAATGCTGCAGTTGCGTGCATATAAATGTATATAGTTGCAGATACCTAAAACTGACCTCACCTGTAATAGTCATTCATTGATTAGGCGATTGTAGCTTTAATAATGTAATCTTAATCAATCGATATCGTTTTTTTTTTTTTTTTCTTTATTAAATTATCGTGAATTAGGCTATTTTAGATCAAAGAAATGTGTAAGAATTAAATGAAAAGAAGTTATGATTGTGAATTATAGGTTATTCTTCCTGAGGGTTTGTGAAACGCACTAAAGATGTCAATCAATGGAGCAGATGATGGTGGCAGTACTACACCAGTAGATCTCAAAGCACCTATTTTGGAGGTTAGTTTCACATATGGCATTAGACTCAGAATATTTTCCAATCACATTAATGTTTCAGAAATGCTTCATTCGCTTTGTATATTTAGTTCTGTTTTTTTATTTGTTTTTTAAGAGGGTTTTTCCTTTCCATATGTTGTTGAAATCAATTTAATATTTACTCACTATTTAGATTGCATGTTGAGTTTATATATTTTAAAACCTCATTTCATGTTTAACAATATTGCTCTTCTCTAAAACTTTGCCAGTTTTTTCCTTCCGTTTTGCTAAGTCTTGTTTTTGAATTTTTCAGGTAAGATGTGGACATTTGGTAGCTCGTTTACACACTGAAAAGTTCGTCTGCCCGGGAATACATCAACCGTGCATTGAACTTGATGGTTTGTTGTTAATATCAGATATCTCCAAACTGATTAATTTTCAGGAAGCTTTAGAGTATTATGCGACTATAATTACGCAAAATCGTATCTTCAAATAGTAATTATGCGCCCACTAGCAACCATACCTTTATATTATGGGCGTTTGCGCATTGATGACTGACCATTTTTAGTAATGATAGTGTAATTTCATGAAGCACACTGGAATCAATTAGTTGGCTGATAGTTCTTTATCTCAAGACAATTTTTTGCAGTCTTCCAATTTATGGCATTGTTGAAAATGTTATTTGGACAAAAACATACAGTTGCTCTTCCTATCTTTTACTGCCTAATACAATGAGACGAAAGTTTAGCACATTATTTTCATACCTTATCATATCTTATTAGCATTATTTATTTTATTTAGGTGAACTGATTAGCCCCAAAGAATTTACAATACGTGCTAATAAAGATAAACAAAAAGACTGGAAAGGAAGCATTCGTATTGGCAAGTCAAATATGAGGTATGACTCTTACGAACATTGAGAATTTCAGGTGAAAGACCTTATTTTGGATAATTTTGCACGTTTTGTTGCTGAATAGAGGAATTAAACAGTGCTTTGGTGTTTAATATGAATATGAAAGTTATTTTTGAAAAATTTAGAAGTGATTAGTTACTACAATTTATGAAACAAATACAGTAAGTGCACAATTAAAAAAGTTTGTCCTTTCAAAATAGTATTATGGGTAGTTTTTTGTTCTGTTAGTTTTGGAATCTTTGTACATCTCTCAGCCTTTTTATTTTTTTCTTTATGTTGTCAGTATAAAAGATGCCTAAGAGGATTTCGTTGCAGTTTTTTGGCGTAAAATCAGCTTTGCTGTTAATAAGGAGTCAACGAAGGCTTTTGACTCCAAAATTATAGGTAAAACAAAAACAAGGAAATTAAATTTTTATCTTTTTTATAACACGTTTCAGAGCATTAATGGAAATGAAAAGCCTCGATTTTTACAATCACGAGAATTACTGCAGCGCGAAATGTCAGTCACGAAATTTTATGTCGTTTAAAAATCACCTTACAGAAGCATATTTAAACGCTGACTTGCTTTATGGAGCAACGTCATCCTCATTTGATGAAGATAAGAAAAGTGGCATCATGAGGTGATTGATTCTCATCTCATTTTATGGAAATATAATCAAATACTTTGAACAAATATTTTAGCACTAGCTGCTACAGATACGGTGTCATTTTTGAATTATTTCAAGCAGATTTAAAAAATATGCATATATTTATGATTTTTTATGGGATTTCTTAATTTTTTGCAGCCTTTATTCACAAGTGAATGAACGAAGTAATTCGGTTGTTAATGGTATGTTTTCTCGTCATATTTATTTGTCGACTCGTTGACTATTATTTATTCAATTATACAGTGACTAACTTTCTCGAACTGCAAACTCCCATTAAATTTTGGTATTGAGATGCATGTAGTTTATTGGATTGAGAAATAGAATATGGAGTATTTTTTCATGTAATTACTGCATTTCTGTTTTTCAGCAATAATGTCAACGTTTATGAAGGGTCAGAAATTCGATGAAGATCTCATGCCGGCAGAAGAAGATGCAGCCGGCTCAAGTAACAGCGCCGTAATGGTCATGAAAAATCGTATGTTCTAGTTTATTAGAGAATTTATATGTCTTTTAATTATTTGTTGGGCTTACCTCTTTCTTTTTTCATTTTTTCCTCCCAGATAACTGGTATATTTTTCTACGTGTAAGCTATGTGGTATGATATGGATAAAACATGTGTTATGAAAACTACTGGAAATGTCAGACTGTGATTGTACTTGAGAAAGAATACTTTTGCGTACATAATGGTCTCAACAAAGTATGGGACATAGTGTCTCCATCATGCATACAGGATGAAAACGACGAAATGAGATTTTTTATTTGAGGAATAGTGTTATTTGTTTTTTTTTTTTTTTTTTTTTTTTTTTTTTGCATAAGCACTTTCATTTTGTTATGTCTTTTAGAACCAATCAAATTCTGGGCAGGTATGGATGAGATGGGACTTTTAAGTGATTTAACAGACGTTATGATTACATCTATGGAACATCTTCGTCGTCTTGCACTAATGGGACCGTCACAGAGAGATGCAGGTAAACGTTTACCATTTTGTTTAATTACGTTAAAATTATGTTTTTGAGCAAAACAATTTGCACTAATTTCGAGCAGAGCAAAGCTTTTTTATCTTGTTCTGTCATAAACTGTGCTATAAAATTTTGATTTTACACTTTTCATACTGTTTGATTATGAACAGAGTGATCTTACATTATCATACAGTTGCAAAATTCCCCGGCGACATATTTTGTAAAAAATTGCTTCAAAAATCTTTTTGCTTGCAGTTGCGGAACGATTAACTCGAGTTGCTGGCGCATTAGATTTAGACGAAACTATCGGTTCCAGAATACAAGCAGAACGACTTAATTGCACTGTGGAAACAAGTTTGCTGAGTAACGAAATTCAAGGTACACAAGTTTCATAATTCTACACATCATCGGTCGTTTTGGACTCAAGAAAAACGTTCATGGCATTGAAAATTTTTCAAAACAACAGGCATTCTTGAATATCCATTGTTTTTTAAAACTTATTAAATTATTACAATAAAATTAATAGTAAGATTGAAGTGGATAGTAACATATAAGCTGATCGATAATGAGATATCTGTAAATCACTATTAAGCAGAACTGCAAAAGAAAACCGAAGTGAGCTGGCGTAGACTAGAGGAATCACGACGGAAGGCGTCACGAATTGATGACCTATTCTGCGAAGATTCTTCACCAACTGTACCAGGGAAACGTCGAAGGCATTCCACTGCAGCTCCTTCTGTATGTGTTACAGCATCAACGATAACATCTGCACCTACTTCCGCTACGGCAACTGCTACTGCGGCACCAATCATCGATGAAAATAATGGCTTATCAATGGTAGAACAGTGAATCTCATCTGTTCTGTACATCCTGTTTTCATTTTTTTTTTTTTTTTTTTTTTTTTTTTTTTTTTTTTTTTTTTTTTTTTTTTTTTTTGACAAGCTATTGTTTCTTGTTTTTTTATATATCCAGCATTTTTAATATATGTGAATTTATTTCGTTGTTTATTAAGCTATTAGTGTATTAGCCTGTCGAATTATCGTACATTGGCTGAGAGGGTTATTTGAATTGTTATTCCTTTTTCATCATTGTGTATAAGTTGATCCACTCCTTACCGGTGGCTGTTTCCATTCAAAAACAGGATCTATAGTATCCACTTTTCAATAGATAATTATAAGAAATTAGCATCGGAGACATCAGTCTCTTGTTTAGCTTCTTTAAATCAATAAAAAGTGTTATTTCATCTTTACCGTTTAGGATTATTACATCAGCAGATAAGTTTTTTTTTTTTGGCTTACGTGGAGTTTCAATTTAAAGAAAAAAGTATTAGTTGGGATTATTTTCTTTACGTTCGTGGTTGTATTTTTACAGGAATTCTGATATATTCATTTTGGAGGAATTACAAATAGCTATATTGATTTACTGATTTTCACATTTGAAAGAGATTTTTTGTTCAATAGATTTCACTCATCCTTTAGAACGTTTACGTCGTTTTCCGATGGTCGTGGATTTGTATGGTTTTTATTTTTTCAAAACGATTATGAGAATGGTGATGAATCAGGATTGCTTAGTAATAGCAGCGAGAATAACTTTTCGCCGAATAACATGAGAATAACTTTTCATAAAAATTCACAAAAATCGTTTTTCTATGGATCATATAAGCAGTCTCTTTTTTAGAGATCCTGTGACATGACCAAATATCTTCTTCACAGAGGAATTTTGAACAAAAAATCGAAATCGTATTACGCGTTGGTGGTTATGTAACAAATCTTTGCATCATAAATTGTTTCAGGAAGGATGGTTCTTTTCTGTTAAAATTCATTAGTAAAAGAGCTATTGCAACTATTTCTTTAATACTATTGAGCTTGACTGGTTAGCATTTAGCATTAATTAATTTCACTTATTAAGCGTTTTTGTCCAAATGTGAAATCTTTCTGCATTTTTTTCTAAAACACATTTTCACAGATTCAAAAATTTCGTAGGACTATGTCCAAATTTATGATTTTGTTTGTTCGAAAAACCTTTTGAAATTTAAGAAAAAAGAAAAATGACAATACTAATGAAAAATTTTTACAGTAGTAGAAATTGTAGAGATTGCTGAGAGAAAACTGCCGGGAATTTATTTTGATTGCTTTTAATTTAGCGGATTTTGTGTCTCTGAGGCTAATCAACTGTAAATTTCACGTTATTTCAAAAAGTGGATTTGCTCGGCGAAGTAAGCAAATTTTAATTTCTTGCTCAGGCAATCAGTCTCTTGTTTGATTTTTCACAGGTTGCTTCACTCATTGCTTTTTTCCTTGCATTCTTTCGGGACAAATGATCTTAGCAGTCCATGGAGGAAAGGATATATCATTCGCCAATTTCAAATTTTTTTTTTTTTTTTTTTGACTGAAGCAACCTAATGATTTGCTTCTTTACGAAGTTTGGATCTCTGTTTTGTTTACACTGTTTTATAGGCTATTTACAGATATAGCTGTTAAGGTCTGTTTCAGTGTTGAGTTTACTCAATTGCTTTTTTTTTTGCTACTAATTTTGTTTATTTTTCTTTATATATGTCATTAAACATAAAAAAAAAAAATTTGTTTGGCACTCGAATTCAGCAAATTTTAAGAAGACACAGGTAAGTGTAATTTTTCTTTTTTAAATAAAACGTGATTTTTATTTCTTGACTAAAGAATTTTATAGTTGATAAACGGTAGGTGGATGAGTGATACGATAATTTGATCAGTTAACTGAAGCCGTCAATATGTAACTTAAAACAGGAAGAAATTTCTTATTGGTTAAATATTTCTATAACAATTAATTGATGCGACTTAGGATTTACACTTCGTAGTGAACATTTATTTCCATCCCTTTTTCACAACTTTTTTTTTAAAGATTGAGGAGTTTGTTCCAAATAAATATATTTGTCGATGACTCTTTTAAAAATAAAAAGTTTTACCTAATGATAATCTATGGTTTGCATCTGTTAAAAATTTTAAGTCGCAAAACATTTGAAATTCTTGAAAGATATGCGCATTGTATTTTACAATAGCAAATAGCAATCACAAATGTATGGAACTTGTAGTTCGTAAAAGGTATTATTCGAGTAAGTTATTAGTTACGATAGTCTTTATTTCGTTGTTGAATATGGTTTCAGATTGCATTATGACTGTATTTTTAAAATAGGTTTTAAAAAAAATAAAATTTATGTATTAATCGGAGGATCATTCCGCATAATCATCTTTGTTAACTTTTATCAATAGTCATCTAATAATGAACACTAAGGTTTTTTGTCAAGTAAATCAAGTCATTATATTTTTGTATCATCGGATGAAATGACAATGTTTTTTTTTTTTTTTTTTTTTCATTAGTTTTATTAAATTATCTACATTGGGGAGTAACAAGTTTTCAAAAAGTTAAACTTTAAACATTTAAAGGAGTTAAAATATTGCTAACTCGTAAATATAAAATACAGAAGCTTATGATTTATTTTAAAATGAAGGAAAATAGCTAATATTTCTATTTCATACTGATTAAATAATAGCACTGATAATTGAAAACGGTAATAATCGATTTAAAAAAACAATAACAAGATTTGAGTTCTAAAATATACATGTAGAAATTAGCTGTACTTTTACAATAAATTGCCAAATTTTTATTAATTAAACAGATAAGAAATTGTACATTTCATATTTTATCAAATTTCATCACATTTCATATTTTATTCCTTTTTTTAGTCTGATAAGATAGGCTTAAACTTATGCTCACTCTGTTATAAAATTGTTCACTGTTATTTCTTCATTTAATTCCAATGCACAATCAGTTTAGGTTTTTTTTTTTTTTTTTTTTCATTTAATATAAAATGCAATATGAATGTAGAAAAAGTAAATTTTTCACGATTACACAGTCGAAATATAAGAGCAAACTCACTTATATATTTCATCGAAACGAAAAAAAAAAAAATTATTTTGGTTTTTTGAAATTATCCTAGCAAATGATATTATATATTCAAAATTTTAATTTCTGATTTTCAATTTTTAGTCTAATCACATTATTATCGATAGGTACTAAAATTTAATTTTCATACGATCTATAAAAATGTGATAAATAAAATAAGATAAATTATTCAGGGAACAATTAATGATTGGCAAATTATTGCTTATCAGACCATAATGACTTTATTAATGAAGTAAATTAATTGAAAGTTATTTAATTCACAATGTTTTAAAACGATTTGCAAAGGAAAACAAAAGAAAAGAAACAGCAAAAAAAAAAAAACGATGTATTAAGGATTAATTAACTTCATTGCCCATTATAAATTTAATTCATCAAACAAATTATCATAAAAAAAGTTACATTCCTATGTAAAATCTCTCACTAAAAGTGATTCCCATAAGTATTTCTGCCAGTCATCAAATTCACAATTCATAAAATTAAAATCATGTAGGGAGAAATTCAAAATTATATATCGTTTGTAAAATTTGAACGAAAAATTTCTCCTTTTAAAATTATCGCAAATTTTAAAAATTGTACCAAAAAAATCGCATCATAAAAATAGTGAGTAATGATAATAAATTTTTTATTTTTTGTTAAAAAATTTTTTTTGCTACTTTATTTTCATTGATAATTATATTGATTTAAAGAAATAGAAAAAAACGTTAGCTATTGAAAGAAATGAAAAAAGGAAAAAAAGAATTCACTAATAAGTAATTTAAAGTAAATAACTGAAGTAATCATTATTGTGATTAATTTAATAATGATAAATTGATATAGATGTGTTATCTATGATAGTATAATAAAATTAATTATTAAATCATTTAATTGTAAATACTTCATAAACAAATGATAAATTAGTACAAATAAAAATGTTTAATTATAATAAAAATTTTGCAAGCATTTTAAAATTGTTGCAAATTTTAATGATTGTCATGTGCCATAAATGTGATCAGTATAAAAAAAATGCTACCCAATAAGCTGTCAAAAATTTGTTACAACTTCCTCTCATCGAATGAATTATTTTGCAATAGTAAATCAAAGATTATTTCAATTATTTTCCTAGAAAAAAAAAGTAACAAAAAGTCATTGCAACAGGAAATGAATAATAATAACTGACCGTATGATCATATTATCTTTTATTTTCAATTTTTTTTTTCCTTTTTTTCACTTCAAATGCGCAAACTGGTTTAGCAGTTAATCAAAACAAGGTTAACTTATATATATATATATGTATAAATATATACACATATATAAGTAAATGAAGTAGTAAGTGTGATATTGTCCTTTCCACCAATTGCTTTCCATTATTGTTTTCTACTATATTTCAAAAGATTACAGATTTATTTATTGCTATATTCAATTTAGCTTAACTTGTTGAAAATAAGAAATAAATTTTTTTTTAAATCCTGGTAGTTTGTTAATGAAAAATATTAATATTTGAGAGCAATAAAAACATTGTATTTTTTTTCAAAAATTTATCGTTTTAGAAGAAAAGTTAGAAAACTATAAATAAAATTTGGAAGAACATAAATAAAATAAAAAAATTAATATCTTCAAAGATTTCAGATTCATTTAAAATTTTTCTTCTAGAAGACTATTAGCGATTACGATTTCTTTATTTATGTTTTCAACAAAATGAAAGATAATAAATCTAATTTGAAGCGATAGCATCAACTGAATTTATTTCATATTTTAGCAAAATCATGAAATATTTTATTCTTATGCTAATAGTTTTTACTGCATTTAGTGCAACCATCGCTGACGATGAAACAGATGAAGCAGGTAGGCTGTAATTATTATTATTATTATTATTATTATTATTATTATTATTATTATTATTATTATTATTATTATTTATTATTGTCATTGTTATTATTAATATTATTATTATTATTATTATTATTATTATTATTATTATTATTATTATTATTATTATTATTATTATTATTATTATTATTATTATTATTATTATTATTATTATTATTATTATTTATTAACTTCAATCTTTTCCTTTCTATTTAATATGCTGAATTATATTTAGTTTAATTTTTTTGTGGTCAAAAAATTATTTCAAAGAATTAACGACTTTTATTTCCACAAGAAAAAATAATGTTGTAGTAAGTAAATTGCAGTACATAAATGGATTTGTTTTTCTCCCTTTCTTCCCCTCTCTCTATTTGTCAAAATTAATTAATGGATCGCTTAAAATGCTTAATTAGCAATAAAATGTAAATCACTTAAGTAAGCAGTTTTTTTTCTTTGAGAATTTGATTTCTGAATAATTGTAGAAAAAGAGCCGGAAGAAAAAAATGAAAAAACTGAGACCGAAGATCGCAAAGAACGAAGTGTGTACGTTTTCCACTTCTTTTTTTTTCTTTTAAAGCCTATCAAAATGTAGACAAACGAAGATGAAATGATAAGTAAGCTAAGAAAAGTGCGTCACTATAATCGAAAATAAGAGAAAATTAAAGGTTAAGAAATAATTGAAAATTCATGCAAAAATGAATTGATCAGACGAATAGCCAATTTAAATGCATTAAATGCAATAAAGAAGAAATATTTCCGTAAAGCAACTAACGCTTATTAATATTTATAATTAATATTGTGTTTGAGCAAAATTAATTGTTTAAAAAGAAAAAAAAACGTAACATTTTAATTAATTAAGTTTGTAAAAAGAATAAAAAATGATTGATAAAAGGTTCAATAAATTTTAGAAAATTTGAAACAAAAATTTTAAAGAACGACAAATTTCAAAGAATGATTAAAGCATATAATTGATTAATTGCTACATAATGACTAATTATAATATATCTGAATTAATAATAAATTAACAATTTAATTTCAGGCTAACAAATTATGATCCAGCGATAATGGCACCAGAAATGAACGCCGATGCTGGTTTACTCTTTCGACGTAAAATACGATCGGAAGAAGGATGTTGCTGTTGTTGAATGAAAAAAGAAAAAATATAAATAAATGAATTAGATAACATTAAAAAAGATTTTGAATTCTGAATGAATTTTGAGTATTTCCACATTCATCACTGTATCAATAATGAATAAATTAAATTCACTTTGAAATTTGAATCAATTACTCTATATTATTCTTATATGATTGCAATGGCTCGTGCTCTAATTTTTATGCAATTGTGTATAACAAGTTAAAAAAAAAAAAAAAAAAAAAAAAAAAAAAAACCTTAATAATTTTAAATAGCAATAGAGCAAAACAACAAAAGTTTAATATTTGTGATATTTTATTGCGATAACGAGAAATTATATAGGATTATAGAAAAATCCAATTGCATTACATTTGTTGAAATAGCCAAAGCGTATATCGTAAATGCTAATCTTTTTTTCTTATTAATATCATTAATATCAATATTCTCCGGATTTAATTCTTTTCCTTCCATTCAAGTTCGTCGTAAAACTGAAATATTCTCTCATTACTAATATTGAATATATTAGAAGATGAAACTTTTTTCAAAAATAATAGTAGTAGCTTTCTTAATATTCGTTTATGTTTTTCAAATGTCTAAGGTACAAAAAAGAAAAGAATCAAAATTCCATTGATTCTTTATAAGAAATTATCTGACAGTTATGAATACTGTAAAATGTGATAACAAAGGTTATTTAACTAAGCTACAAATTCACTTGATAAACTTGATAAATTATTTCAAAAATTGTCTCGTAAATCACTTCGATCTCCAAAACAGTTGAGCAAGCATTAAATGTATTGAATATGACAACTGTGAATGTTTATATTAACTTCCAGAAAAGCTTGCAGTATTTACGCGTGATAGACTAGTTAACGTGGGTAAGCAGTGACTACTAATCCTTTAACCGGAAAACTAACAGTTTCATGGTGGCTTTTCATTCGCAATTTTCGTGAAAATTCTTTCTTTTGAATGTGTTCGCAAATTAATATTCTAAAATTGTTGTCCACATTATTATCATCATCAATCATCAACTAATCATCAGTCATCATCATCATCTCAAAATTAACAAATATTGTGACAAACAAAATATACTAATTTCTTGAAGTCAAGAATTTAAATGACAGATCAGAAATATAGCGCAACATTTCTCAAAATTCATCCTGTAATTAATTTATAGTAAAGGATGAATATTTATCACCATCGTCCATTTGCATCATACTTAATCCGCTTTTACTTTATGTCATAAATTATTGAATTCATTTGATTTTACGGGTGATTTCTGAGAATATTCAAAATTTTTTCAATTACAGATTAATATGGAATCTCATTTAATAAATCATGGAAAACTATTCACTCCTCAAATAGCTTCTGTTTTCAGTTAACAATAAGTGACAATTAACTGTACTTGAATGATTTCTTTTTTTTTTTCAATTTTCGGATGATTCTTATAAGTGATTGAGAGTTTTCCATCTCTCTATGTTTTTCTTAATTATTTCTTATGAAGATATTATAATTCTGAATAATTTACACTAACTTTACTTCAAAATTCTTTCATTAGCTTAATTGCATTTATTGTAGAACTTTAGTTATTTAGCTTACATACTTCAGTTTAATAATAAGCTTTTTTTTTGGCTGATAAAATAATGAAATGATAAGATGAATAAAAAAAAAAAAAACTATTTCCATTTAGCTATCAGACGTCTTTTTTTTTTTTGAAAAACATGTTATAGTCTCCTTTTTTGGAGAAAAATATGACAAATCAGGCAAAATCATCTCAAGATAATTGCTGTGTTTATCGAAAAAAGAATTGGATCGGAAATAAATGTTGGAAGTTAAGTTTAGTCATCTGACAAATGGTATGACATTTTGCTATTGATGAAATCGTTGAAATTTCCGGTGAATGAATATGATGCAAATAGGAAAAAATGAAAATAAACAACATTCATTCATTCCTTACTACAAATAGTAAATTACAAGAAATAATTCTTTTACTCACTAAAATATATTTGTATGTAGAATTGTATTTTCAACTAAATAATATTGACCAGAAAGTTAATGATTTAATTGATAATTGCAGCCTAAATCTGTCATCGTTAATTGCTTTACATTTATGAAAAAGTAAAAAAAATAAAATTTGTCCATTACGTCTAATATGAACAGTTAGTGATATAATATATACGAGTGTAAATGATTAGTGATAATAAAGTTTTAATAAAAAATAGCCTTCCTCATTTCAAGAAATTTTTTAAGAGAAGGATAATTTAAAGTATTCATTTTCTATACCTAATTTTATTAAATGAAATTTAAATAGTTTCTTAGGTTATCCATTTTAATTGACTGAAGAAAACTGATTCTCTGTTGTTTTTTGATTTCCGGATATGATCCGGAAAACTCACCACTTATTTTTTGATAATGCTTCACATTTTATTTAACTATTCGTCATCAAAGTAGCAAAAAAAACAAACTGCAATCTGTCAAAAAAAATTTTTTATCGAGTGATTTTAGGATGCTAAAAACTAAATATATAGGTGATAAAGCAGAAGAAATCATTATTAAAAAATAATTTACGGATTGCGAACGGTTGTAAATCAAAACATAATGAATTATCAGCGACAATTTGATTATGATATCACTACTTCAGAGTTACTCCAAAAACTAAGGTTTCATCAATTAATAATTGTTTCAAATAGCTTTATAATTATGCTACTTGTAATATTATAAAAAGGATTCAACGATTTTATCATTAGTAATCAGATCATTTCTATGATATTAATAAATAACAGTGATAAATGCTATCGTCATGATGAGAATTTATGATCAAAAGTGATTAAAATATGAAGTATTTATAGAAATCAATGATAGTAATAAATGAAAATGTATATTGTTATTTTCAGAAATTTAAATGATGAAAAATCCTATTTGAAAAGCGACAAGAAAGTCATTTTGATGTGTGGCTTTTTTGAAAATAGTCATTTATGCTATCATTTACAATTAACAAATGCACATTATAAGGTTTTCAAATTTATAATATTTTTTACCACTATTTTTTAAACCATTTTAAAGTTTTTTCCATCAATAATATCTTCTTATTAAGCAGTAAATTTAACTAACATTAAATTAAGTTAATAAAAGTGAAACTAAATAATTCATTATAGCAATCTTGTATTAGCAATTATTGTGTATTATATTATTATTATTATTATTATTTTATTGTTATTATATATTTTATTGGTTGCTATACATTTTATTATTTTATTATATATTTTACTGATATTTTATTCATTATTTTTTACCCTATTAATAATATGCAATTATTTGTTTTGAGAAATAATTGAAAGTCTTCTAGTCACATTCATTTATGTACATATTTCATAACTTCTAAAATTTTTCTACTAAAAACTAATTTCGATTAAATTAATTAATTTCAGCTTAAAATTTCACTAATTTCAATCTATTCTTTTTCTCACAATTCAATTTATTTTTTCTCTCTCTGTCTCTCTCTTATAACTTCTATAATTTTCTGTTAAAAAAAAATTCATATTAAACTAATTCATTTCAACTTCAAATTTTATTGACCAATCTTAATCTATTACTTTTCGCTTTTTTTTTTTTTTTTTAACAGTTAATATTATTAAATGATATTAATGTTATTTTAGCCAGTTATATTTAATGTTGAATGTCCACGTGGACGTGCTTTTGGTGCAACGCCACATATTGGCGTTGTGATGCCACAATGCAAAATTATCATTTATTGTACATTTCATTCGGAGCGTATCACACGTGTACCTGATGACGGAATTTATATTTATAGTATTTTTCAAAAAGCAGTTAATTATGATCAATTTAGTAATTCACAAAGTGATAAGGAAAAAGAACGAATAGCACGAAAAGTAATAAAAATTCCTTTTTTCTTTATTATTTTTAACAAATATTTATAATAAAAAAAATAAAAGAACCTTTTCAAATTTAAATTTATTAAAATTAAGATTATAAGATTAAAATTATAAGTAAGAGAAATATTTTTTTTTTAATATAGTAACTTCGAATATATCTTTTTATAATTTAATACAAAAAGATTTATAAGTTAAAAAACTTGTTTAAATCTAAATTTATTAAAGTTTAAGAAATTGTAAATATAAATAAGAAAAGTGCTTTTTTTTTGTTTTTTTTTTTTTAATTGTAATCTTGAATATTGATTTTTTTTTACAATTTAAATCAAAAGAATTTATGACTGAAAATTTAAAAAAAGATCATTTCAAATTAAAATTTATTAAAATTTAAGAAATTAAAATTATAAATAAGAGATATGTTGTATGTTTTTTTAAATATAGATTTTAATTTTAATTTTTTTTTTCAAACTATTATCCAGATTTGGTCACAACATCGTGGTAAATGCTTCGAATGTCTTCGTCTACCGGTAGCTTTTGAACCACGACGGGCAGCGGTACATGAACAACACATTGAGGTCTACTGTGATGAAATAACTGGTAAATTTCAATATATTGCACCGAAATTATCAAAGGAGGAATTACCAACCAGTCAACTACCATCTGCTAAAGAAATGCAATAAATGGAAGTAAACACAACAAAATACTTCTTTAAAAAAAAATTGTTTTTAATGCTCCTGAAAATATTTTTCATCCTTTTTCTACGATATAAAATTTTTATATTTTATTTATATTAATTCCTAAAATTTAAATTCAATAAAATTAGATTTTAGCGAAGTGTTTTTTTTTTGAAAATATATTGCTTTAAAATTGAAATTCAAAATGAAATTCAAAAAAAAAATTCAATATCATTTGTCATCATAATTTGATCGCTCAATAACAATGAGTAATATAAAATATATTCATCTTGTTTATATTTTACACAATTTAAATAATAAAATTTATTTCGAGAAATTATAAGCAAGAGTTTTTTACTTATTTTTTTTTTGATTCTGTTACATTAAATAGAAAGTCGCTTTACACTATTTGGCGTTTTTTTTTTTTTTTTTTTTTTTTTTTTAAAGAACAACTTCATTTAATTTATAGTTATTTTACACTTTACACTGTGGCCGATTCTTTATTCTTTATTAATAACTTAATTACCTAAAATTAATTAATTGATGTAATGCATTTATGGGTTTCATTAAAATATCCCTCTATACTGAATTAAAAATATATAAATAGTCGTATTATTTAAAGAAACAGTTCTTAATTCGAAATTATAAAATCATTTTATATCAATTGATTTAATTCGCTTGGCTTAATTGAAGAAAAGTCGGCTGGAAATGGTTGTAATTATTTAGCAAATAAATGATGTTAATCTGTCATTTGAGTCTTATAGATTAAAACAAATAATTATATGAGGAACAAAAGGAGTGGAAAAAGGAGCTTGGACCAAAATTAAAAGCTTAAAAAAAAAGTAATTAAATCAAAATTAAATTCAACTAAGTTATAAAAAGCAGAATAGGATCAAAATTAAATTTAGATAGATTTTAAAAGATGAATGCATTAAAATATTTAACTTATTATCATCAATCACTGCAATTATTAATTTTCCGATTAATAGCATCTATAACAATTATTGCTATTCTATAATTTTTACAATTTGCAAATCCTAATTTTCCTATTTATCTTTTAATTTCTATAAAACTTATTGTTTTATCTTGCTTGACCGTACCCTATCAGATCATACTTCCTTCTTCATTTAACTTTATCATTGTATTTATTAATTTCTGTTAGCGCATTCAACGGATGTTTCCATACATGCATTCATCTTAACATTTTTTCTTATTATTATTACTAAATATGATTTGTCTAAAGATATTTTTACATTTTGTTTCACATATATATTTAAGAAATCATATATCCTTAATCAATTATCAATTTTACATTCCACAACGCAGACACGGAACTTTTCTTTACAAATATTGATTTTCATGCTAATTTAATGACATTAGCTTTTAACAAATTTCAATCCAACAAATTTTTCACTTATGATTAGAAACTTACGAATATATATGATTAGGTCCCATCTTTGAACAATTAATTCAATAATAAAATTACAAGGATGTTTTAGAAACTATTCCATTAACTTCTGTAGCATTCTTTAAATTTCCATATTATAAAATAGAAAAAAAAAATCGTCTCGGGAACAAATCTAGTACTCTGTTGCAATGTAAAATCATTTTTCAATTCAAATTTAATTAACCACAGAATTAAACCCACCATTTTGTTGCAACCATGTTGAAAGCATAATTTCATTCCTACTGTTCTTTCCATCAAGATTTGAATTACTCATATCATATCAGATCTTCAATTAGCTCACATTTGAACTTTTAAACATTCAATCATTAATATCTTACGTTAGTTCGTTCGTTCCAGTCTTATCAATAATTTAGAAAGATTATGAGGAAATGAAATTCAGAGACTTTTCTTGTTATAATTTCAACGAAACTAATGTAATTGTTAACAGTGCGAATGTGACGGAATCAATAATCTTTGGATTATTGTTCTAAGGAAATAATGTTATCAACACTACATTTATCATTTCTGGATTAGTATATTATTTATCTAATTTTAAAAAGATATCAATAATAGCTTAAAGCATTCGTAATAGCAAATTGAGAGATGTGTCGTGTTTAAACTCTTTAAACTAATCAATAAGATAGTACAAAAAAAAATTAAAATAATAGAACATTAAACAATTTGTTGCAATTTTTTTTTTTTTGTAAAGCATACAATTAATAGCATTCACGTAAATGAAATAAAAAAGTATATTATTCCTTACAATTAATGAATCTTCATCACAAATATTATTTGAATTGAACTTTTTTCTTCAATTTTTCGAAATCCAATTAGATAATAATTTTAAAATGCAACAATCTGAGAGAGTAGAGATATAAAAAGAGAGAAAGCCTTATTGATACATAAACAATTATTTTGATCATGTGCAGCACTTCAAACAAATCTATTCATTTCATGAAACAAAAATATATCGAAGAAAAAATTTCTATAAATTTGAATAATAAGCAAATTTTACCAAAAAATAATAAAGAACTTACTGCAACAATAAATAAGTATGCAAATTAAGAAATAAATTCAATACAAATAAACAACTGAAGGAGAAAGGCGACAGACGGCACACGTATGATGAATAATGTCATGTATAATAATTTATGAGCATAAACATATATAAATACAACGAAAAAAGAAATAAAAATAAACTTCAAATAGCATATTTAACGAATTTATGCCTAAGATACAATTTTTAAATTTTTTCAATTTCTCGAAAAAAAAGAATTTGAAATCACATCAATTTAAATCAATTTGAAACCATATCAAAGCATTTGAAAACATATAAGGAAAGCTATCTTACAATGCAATACGATTGATAAAAACAAAAAATCGAAGAGATAGAAAGAAAACGAAACTAATAATCATAATATCAAATAATTTAAGCAGTATCAGTCATATCATCTTATTAGTAACTTCCTTTCATATGAAACATCATTTCAACTTAACTCCATAATAATCGTTAACACACACACACACACAAAAAAAAAAAAAAAAAAACATAAATCCTTATTTTCTTACAAATATAATACATTTGTTTAGTTTTATTTTAGGAAAGATTCATTAACTTTCAGTTAGCAATAAAACAAAATGTATAATCTAGTCAAAACACTGATTACAAAATATGATGTAAATGACTGGCAGAACATAAGAAAAGGAAATGGAAAATAATAAATTAAGTCTAAATCGAAAAAAAAAAAAAAAAAAAAAAGAATCGTGTAAAAAATTAAGCAGTTGAAGTGAGAGTTTCTGCTCCGCCACCACGCACAAAAAGAACTCTTGGTAAGCCTGCTGTAAGCTCGTCTAAATAATGCAAATAATCTGTGAAACCTGAAATTTTGAAATATTTTATGAATAAATTCATGTAAATCATACATCTGTAAAAGCATTTTTCGCTTTTTGATAAAAATATATTTAAAATTATTTGAAGCATAAAAAATTATAGCAAATATCAATCATATTACAGCCTTATATATTTGATATTGCTATGGTGTAAGATGTTTGCTTTCATTAAATAATTTATTAAAAAACAATGAAATTTGCTTGAGATAACTGTTAGCTGTTGTTAAATACATGCATCGATAAAAATTATGATAAATATCAAAACCTTCTTTCACATCGGGAGGTTTTGGAAGATTAAGTAGTATCAATTGACTTTTTTCGGATGTCTTCCTGAATAGAGCATTCAAACGAGTCGCTGTGTGCATTTTGTGAACCTAAAAATTACATTCATTTACGGATTCAACTCGTTTTACGAATTACAATTTTTGCATTAATTATGAGATGGAAATTGCTAATTCGGCAAATAAATGGGAAGAATTGCTACTGTGTAAAAATTTAATTATTTCATATCTAAAGTTAAATCAAAAGAAAAAGGAGAGAGAAAAGTGAAAATATATAGCTATATTAAATAATAAATAATTTGCTTTATGTTTTATCACTAAAATTTAAAATAAAAAAATGAAACATAAAGCTAGATGAAAAAACGAATCCAAAGTGTTAACATCAAAAAAAAAAAAAAAAAAAGTAAAAGAAATGGAAACCTTTCGCCTGTCTAAATTTTGTAAGCGTTTTATTCTTTCATTGTCATACTTGATATCCTCATCACGTATCCGTAGTTTCTTCACAATTTTTCTCCTATAACAATAGCTAATAATAATAATTATTATCATTATTATTAGCAATAGTAAATAGTCTCAAATAGCAGGCACAAATTAATTGTGCTCTAGTTGTGTACTTTAAAATAATACGTCAAAATTTCAGTCAAAACTTGCACAGATATATGTAATTTGAAAATTTGAAAGCAAACCCTAGCTCTGTTTCTGTGGGAAATGTTTGAACATCTCGATTTTCCATTATATTTACTGAAACAAATAATATAAGGTATGTTATTCTAGAATAAAAACAAGTATACAATATAGAGAAAAAAAGATGATTTAAATAAAAGTTACAAGAAAAGAAGATTCAAAATGAAATCCGATTCCTTTGTAGAAACATTTGTAAATTATTTCAAAATTCTCATTGATTTTTTTCCCACCATCAAATTGAGGAAAGGAATAAAAACTCTCAATAAATGAGAAAAAAAATATAATGATTACTAAAAATTCTCAAAAAATAAAAGATCACAATGTAAATTGATATCTTGAACGATTGGATCATCATCAATTTTACCATCAGCATTCCCTTCAACATCGACTGCAATATCACCAGCATGTTTTTCAATGCAGAAACGATTTTTTTTCATTGGCTATAAACATATTTTTAAAAAAAATTTAGCAAAATATTTGTTACAATATATCAAGTGATTATCTACTGTATATATATCAACCATTAAAATTATAGAAAAGTTATATTATTTTTCTAATTCTAACTATCTTTATATTAATAACTAAATATTTCATAAATATTTATTTAGATTAAGAAAAGAAAAACAAAAGATTATAATTGAAAACCTCAATGTTATCAATATCATTTGGTGTTTTATTATTCAATTCCTTTAATGGCTCAATATTTTTCTTCATCATTGTAAATCTTCTTGCTTCACGTGCCATTTGACTTCTTTCTTCCATCATTAATGTTCGTTCAAAGTCAGAACGTGATATATTGGGATCACTTAGTATACCTACCTAGAAATTAAGCAAGAAATAAATTTTTTGCTTTTGCCCATTTATTCTTTCATTAATTTTTCAACCCATAATAATCTATTTAATGGAGCATTTAATAGACATTTTGAAATAACTTTGTATATTTGAAAATAAACCTGCACAGTAGCATCAATACGCATTGCTTTCAAATAGAAATTAATTCTACCAGTCATCTCTTCTTTTTCTTCACTATCACGAGCAATACCAATTACGCGCAATTGACATCCACGCCATACCTGAACATAAATGATTTCAATTTGTAAATTATAGTAAACTAAATGAAAGAATATTTTTGCATGTAAAATTAGTACAATATATACAATTAATACAAAAAAACAAAAAAATATATAATTAGTACAAAAAATAATTAGACAAAGAAAAAAAAAGAAAACAAAAATAAGATAAATTTTATGCAAAAACTGCTTATTTGATTTATTATCTAAAAAATATTCAACGTTTTATTATAGCATATCAAATGTAAACGTATGCTATGTGTTTCTATTAAACTTCTAAACTAAATGATAACCTTATGATTTAGCAATAAATGAGCAATTAAACCAAGAAAGCCTCGATCACGAATTATCCAATATGCATCAACATAACCTTCTTTTACAGGTTCAGTTATATAGGGAAAATGTGATATATCTTTGGCGACAAGGAGACACATTTTCATGACATATCCAGCATGTAATTTATCTAAAAATGACCTCTAAGATACTAGATTAAAACAAAGAAAAAAGTTTCAATAAGCAGATTAAGTAGTATGAAATCGATTTTTTTTCGCATAAATTAGATAGCATCAACTAACCCACAAATGTTGAATATTCTGAATCAGATGGTTCAGATGGCCAATCTAAACTATATTTTGGCCATTTTAATAGTAGTGTATTTGGACAAAGAGCACCAACTCCAGTACTTTGAATAACTGTTGAAATACTCCCACAAATCTAAAATATAAAAGAAAAAACTTTTTTTTTCTTACAAATCTTTTAGATTATTTTAAACTACATCAGTCCGAAATTTATTATGTCTTCCTTTTTTTCTAGTTCTATCATTTATATATTGAAATCATATTTTACAAATACTTGAGATTCGCCATATACAAGAGTTTTCGCAAATCCACGAAGCTTTGCTTCTTTCATATAGTCTTTTAATCGTTTCCGTATCTGAAAAAAAAAAAAAAAAAGAATAAATAAATATTATCACTGTTTTTGCATTAAAAAAAATTATTTCCATCATTGCTAAATTATTTTCATTCTTTTGTAACTTATCAGCAAATATACATTTTTTTTTTTTTTTTTTTTTTGTTATTGAATAAAGATAAATGGAAAAATATTGATTGAACTAATGAAATAAATTTTAAAAGATAATGACTGAAGTAAAAGATCAATTTATTTACCTCATTAGCGCTATTTCGATCATTCTCATCAAAAGGATTACCACAAAGAAATGCGACAACAACGCACAACCCTTGACTTGCTTTTAATTGTGAAGCCAAATGAAGTAAACGTTTATAGCGTAAATCACTCTGATCATCTTGCCATTTTAGTGCAAAAAGAATGAGTAGTTGTGGCCTTAAAATATGATACATTTCAAGTAATATGTAATAATAATACATTCAGAATGTAAGGAAGAGAAAAATCACATCTCATGAAATCACAGAAGATGATAACAAAAAGAACTAAGAAATGGAATAGAGTACAATACCTAAAATCTTTTGGATGTGATGCTTCGCTATCATCGATCGTTAACAAAGCCTTTTGTGCAGTTGAAATTGATACTGCTCGCATTCCATCACCCCATTCTTTGTTTGCTCTTAAATCTTAACATTACTATAAAATACCTAAATATAGCTCATAAAGTGTAACTTAATAAGACAATGGTGAATAAATATTTGATTATATTTGATTAATATGATAGAAAATTGCTGAATAAAATGATGGCATATTTTTGTTTTCTTTTTTCATTACAAATTATGTGATTACAAATTACGATTTGTGAGGAATAATTCGAGTAAAATGATAAAATAACAACAAATAAAAAAAACCCCCTGTATTCCGTATATTTATAAAATGAAAAACAAAGAAGACATGAAACAATTGCATAATCCCAATGTGTTGTAAACATGATGAAAAAACACAAAAATGCACCAAGCAAAGCAAGTGACCTAAATTAAATTTCTTTTTCTTAATGTTTAGTGAAGTAAGTTTATTTCTATAATTAAATTTTCATATGTAATATTTTGCAGGAAACATAATAAAATACTATGTAATCATTACTTTTCTTTTGTTCAAATACCATCTAAATTATTACTTTTGCATAAGTATGATAAAAATTTATAAAGAGCAATACTTACCAGTGATAATATTTGTAACGAGGTCTCCAATTAGGTGCTTTGACAATAGAATGCATTGCACAAATGACATTAATAAATGCATAACACATCAAGAAGAAAAAGTCAACGACAGCTGCAATATGATCCATTGCACCAAGAAGTATTGCTAATTCAGCAATTAATGTTGTAATTAGCAACCTGCAAAACTAAATATCCTTAAAGTAATTTGTAAAATTGAAATTATTGATGGGAAAATCTATTCAAATAGAATGTAAAATATATTCAAATTATGAGAATATATTTTGAAAATTATTAATATAAGATAACATAAATTAGAAATATAAAATATAGAATCAACTATGATTTTATATAACGATAAATATATAAGAAATGACAACTTTTTTGAGAGAGAGAGAGGATGGGTTTTTTTATAAGTAAATAATACGGTGCAATAACTAAGTACATGTCGTAATGAAAGTCTCATTATTATATTAATTCATTTCTAATTATTGGACTGTTTAAATTAATAAAATTTTAGCACATACCCATGGAATGGTTCATTCCTTTTTGTCAATTTTTTGAAACTCTTCAGCTCTGGTACCACTTCATCCTGTGCAATACACTGAAGTAAACGAGGTGCGCCTACAATAAAAATGAAATATTGATATGATATGACAGAAATAGTTGTTTGGCATAGAGTATTTAATAGTTTTCTGGAAGAAAATAAACATTTTAATATATATCTTAGAAGGAAAATAAAGATTTTAATATATATATTTTAGAAGGAAAATAAAGATTTTAATATATATTTTGAAAGGAAATAAACATTTTAATATGTATTTTGGAAGGAAGTATACATTTTAATAGATATTTTAGAAGCAAACATTTTGATATATATATATATATATATATATGCATTAGAGCAATATTCTGAAAAAAAGTTATAATATTGAAATTAAGAGAGCAATATCGGTTATCAATGATAATTACAATATTTCAACATGAATCGACCAAAAATACATCAAAAATATTGGAAGAAAAACGCATACTGCATAAACACTGAAGAGCAGCACCAAATGTTGAAGTGAATGATCCAACTAATAATATCCAATGACTTGGCCATGCCAAATTTGCCACAACCATACTACCTGCCATTGATGCTCCATATCTTCAAACATAAATTTATTTAAAAGCCTTTCACGGTCAGATAATTAATTATATAAAGATGATATAAATTAAATACGTATTTTGCATGACACATACTTATCTCGTAAAACATCACCATCAACTGCAGCACCAAATGTTAAAGCAAGCGCAAAATAGATGAATGAAGTGGTCAATTGCGCTCCTAATGTACCTGACGGTATTGATTTTTGGGCATTTTTGAGATCTCCTAAAAAAATCACTATTTATCTAATTATCATTTTTCCTTCAAAATCCACTGAAGTAATTGAAAAGATCCGAATATCAAAAATTTTATTGGTTAATGTATTCCGGAAAATAAAATAGAATAGGTACCGCTCATGTTAGTTCCGGTTAAAATTCCAGTAACTGCTGGAAAATAAATAGCCAATAATACGAAGAACGTCGTTTTTACATCTTGATACACCTCGATATGAGTATTTGCTGCTTTTCCAGGTTTGTATTCACCATCTTTCGTATAATGAGTTGCTTTCAAATTTTCTATAAACTCAAATGAAAATTATAGCTGGAAAAGAGATTAAAATGATGTTTAAAGTGAAATATTTATTAAAGAAAAAATTAAAGAAATAATTGAAATCTAATATGGAGGAAAGTATTTGAAGTTGAAAGAAACCTTTTAGAACACCGCTCGTAAAACCAGGATAACCATTTACACATTCAATAGGTAAAAAGCATGTACCATTACCACAATATTCTGGAACATTTCTACTTCTGAAAATAAAAAAAATTGATATACAATAAATAACACAAAAAGTATTTATATCTGAAAGTATATTTTTCTGAATATTACTTCAACAAAATCATATCGATCAAAAGAATGCAGTGTTTATGTCACTGTTTTCGTCTTTTTTTTTCTTTTTTTTTTTTTTTTTTTTTTTAATTATTTGAAATTGAAATTACAAAATTATATCAGATATAATGTGTTTTATCAGAATTAAGAATAACACTGGTATCTAGAACCAGAATGATTCAATCTGTTGTTTTGAACTTGATTAATTAGTGATTAATTAATTAGAATTTGATATCTACACATTTATTCAGTTTTCCCTTTGTTAAACAGTCAGTTCTATATATATTTATGAAATATCTTTTATCGAACTTCCTATAAATATTAAAAACTTACATAAATCCTTCATTGCAGTACCTGCAGATGTGTATAATTGAGATATTTTGCGGCATAAATATTTGTGCTTGCAATAAATGATCTCCTATTTTACATACTCTGAAATGAACGATAATAATATTAACTAATAAATACAAAGATAAATATGACTGTAAATAACACATTTAGAAATAGTTTCATCCTAATTCTTTGTTCATTTATCAATAAGATTCTACATGATTTAAAAAAAAAATTATATTCATTTTACATAATATGAATTATATAAATTATTTCTCATAAGTATTCGTTGTGATAAAAAGAAAACAATTTTAAAACCTTTGCCCATTTTCTGGACTGATTGATTTCTCAATTCCACCAGCAAAACAGGATAATATCGATAAAATAACACATAAAAGTGAGATCTAAATGTATGAAAATTATTAAAGTAATAATAATTGCATCATTAATGAAATAGTTAATATTTTATTCTAAGAAATTATGGAAATTACAAGTATACCGGTGCAAAAAGCTGCACGAATCGTACACCCATAGCTACAACAATAAATTCAAGTATTAGTAATAGTGTAGCATAAATTCGTAAATTATGTGACATCATACCAAACATATCTGCAAACTTTTAAAAACAAATAAATTATATCACAATAATTTGATTTTCACATTAACTTTTCATTGTTTTATAATAAATTCAATAAAATAAGAAATGCATGGTAAATTATACAAAGAGAAAAATAATGTTTATTGCAAAAAATGATACAAAAAAATTATTGTTTATTCGTAAAAGTGTTACATTGAATTCCAAATTTATATTGATGCCTTCAAAGTTGAATATTTTAGAACTGCAATTTTTGAGAGCACTGTAAAATATATCAGAAATAATAGAAATGAAATAAAACTTAGTATTTACATTACATCCATCCATACCATTAGCAGTCAATAATGTTGAAAATAAAATGGAAAATTCTTAAAAATTCAACCTGTTTGTGATTGCACTTCTCGGCCGCCAATTGTAAGATCAGGAAAAATATAAATCTGGAAAATGCATGAAATTTTTGAATAGAAATAAATTCAGTGTCGAAAAAAAAAACAAACCAATAAAGTTTATTTGTTATTAAAATGATATTAATCTTAAAGCTAGTAATTACATTCGTAAGAATTTATATAATAAATTTTTGAAATGAAATATAATTTTATACTATAATATCATACCAATAAAATTTCAACACCACCAACTAAATACATAGAAGCAGCAACTGCATTTCCCAGATAAAATAGTATGCCTATTGCTGTACCAAATTCTGTTCCAAGATTTCTCGATAACATATAATAAGCGCCACCACTCTTAATTTCACCATTTGTAGCTATTGCTGATAAACTGATAGTAGTGATAAAAGTCTAAAACAAATGCAAAAACTTTTCCACTAAATAATTATACATTATTCAAATCTTGCAAATGAACATAATCAAACATTTAAAATAATCACTACTATTTTCATGAAATGAGAATTTTTCTCAGAAAATAATATAATAAAATCTGACAAAATAAAAAAAAAAAGCGACGGATTATTATTCATAATTGATATAAAAACTGGACTAATAACAAAATAATGAATTACTAATGATTAATTAATTAGCATTGGTTAATAATACTAATGATTAGTTAATATTATTTGATTAAATGGTAAAAAGAATAATTATTTCTTTCTCATTCTTATAAGCAAAACTGTTAAATAAAAAATTTATTAATTTATTAAATTAAAAAAAAAAAAAAGGAAAGAAAAAACAATACAGTTAAACAACAGAGTGCAAGAAGCAGAGATGCTTGTGTTATGCCAGCAATTCCAACAACCCAAAAAAGACGTATGAACATGGTTACACCCAAAATATGCTGAACTGTTGGCAAATATACACCAAATAATGTACCCAAATTTGCTGACTGAAAAAACAAACAAAACAAAACAAAAATCACTATATTTGCATAAATTCGATTTCAATTACAAATGATATTCATATAATATAATATTAGTATTACTAATAATATAACCTATACAAAATAATAAAATAGCAATGTAACCAAAGTTATTATCTTTTGAGACATATTTAAAATAAACAACAAAAAAGAAAATGAATAATTCTACTTAAATTATGACTCATACACTTTATGATTAAAATATTTAAATCAACATAATATTCTTTTAGATTAAGGAATTAGTTTAATTCAATAAATTATAATATATACTTTCACAGATCGTTCAAGTGCTTGAGGTTGTGTGAAAACTTTCAAGTATTGAGAAAACAATTCAGCTGCTGTATCCTCAAAAAGTTCCAAATTTGTATGTCCAATATTCGGCTTAATTCTATCATCATTTATTGAGGAACCATCATTATCTGACATAAATAATTCTTCTGTAAGTAAACTAATCCGATCTACATATAAATTATTAATAAAAAAAATTGAAGAAATTTGGAACAAATATACTCGTTTCACTTTAAACATTATTTCAATATATGACGCATTGAAAGGACTGTAGAAGAAGTTAAAATTTTGTAGTGCTTTAAAAACTTAAATGATATTAAAATTGTCTCAGTAAAAAACTAATGTTCCATTTTAGTGGAGTGTCTTTTATATTTTAAATTGAATTTGATAAATGATAAAGTAAATTTTTCAAGACTATTCATATTTGAAAATTATAGAAGGTTGAAAACAAACAAACTGAAAATTTTCAACAAAATTCTTATTATTCAATAAAAATTGCAATTATTTCAACAAGATTCTTATCATTGAATAAAAATTGCATTTTTTTAAAAAAGTTGAAACAGTTGTAAATCATTCAATTGCTAGATGATTAATATTAAATTTTTCTATCTAAATGAATAAATTATAATAACAAACCTTTAATGGCGTCATCAATTGATAAGAGTAATGAAACACCTTCGTGGAAATCATCATCTGTTCGTAATGAAATATCAGTTTCAGCATGATTATCAATAATTTTTAATGGAATTTCTGTTGTGATAGAATCATCTGATAAACTGGGCATCTTCTGATTGCAATTTTGATTACGATAATTTGATATATTATTATCCATTTGAACTCTAAATAAACAAAAATGAAGAGATTATGCGATTAGAGAAAGAATAATGCACTAAATTGAGAAACTAACCATTCATTAATTAATTCATTTAATTTAAATAACCATAGGACATTGGTAGAAGATAACTATATTAATGATAAATGATAGCCATATTAATGATTATCACGAAATATATACGCATACACATAAGCACACACTCACATACATACATACACACATTCTATTCTTAACATCGATATGGAAGACGAATAAAATTTGCCTCAGCAACTAAACTAACTAAACATATAGTAGTATTGATTACCTAAACAACTAAAGTAACTAATTATGCAGTAATATTAATTACCTAAGCAAATTCTCACACTTATCCAGTTTTATGTAATCTTTCTTCTTTTTTTTTCTTTATTTTATCTATTATACTTCACTACGTATAACACAAATATAGCACAAAATAGACACTACGTATATTTAGTCTTTTTTAAAATAAGCTTTTACGCAAAATTTACAAGGCATCAATAATATCTAATACCATTATAGATTGCATATAATATATTCGTATCGTATACATAAGAAAATGCAATCTATTACTCAAAAGTATACTGTAGCAACTTTGTCTTTACAGTTCACAGTATAGTTGAGTTATTGCAATTAGTTATGATCAATTAATAACACACATTTTCTTCTCCATTTTTTATCAAAAATTGTAAATAAAATAACAATTAAAAAAATAACAAACAAACCACTGATAATTGATGAAAATCGGAACAGTCCGAAAAATATAACAGAAATATATCGGACTAAAAATTGTCGTGTTTACAATATTATATTATTATTATTATTATTTCGCTATCAATAAGCAATACGTAAAAGCAAAATTGTAATAAATTAACATATAGCATGAAAAAAAAAAAAAATGATACGTAATACATAAACGTGACACGTGATAATATTTACTTTAATTTCAGATATTATACATGTAATTATTACGTGATGAGATATATTTCAGATGAGTACTAAAAGAAATAATAAAATTTTTTTTAACTAATATTAAAACTAAAATTAAAACTACAGAAATATTTTTTTTTTTTTAAAGAATTTTTAACTAATATTAAAGAAATAAATTTTTTTAACTAATATTAAAACTAAAATTAAAACTACAGATCTTTGCTTTTCCTTTTTTCTGTCCCTATTTTTTTAATAACTTTATTTAAATTTGTTGATAAATTTATTTGTGCATTAAAATTGATTATTTAATCAATTAGCAATAGTCTTGCTCTATTGCATAAACTTTTACATTAAAGAGTATTTTCATTCAAAATTTTCATTAGCACAAAAGCATTACGAATAACAATCAATTAATGGAACAATTAATTTCATTTGATCTTTTTTTTCTCATTTAATTTAATTCAGCATTTTGGTTTAAAATTTTAATTTTTTATTCCTTTCAATCTCTAATTACAATCAAATTTATGTTTTAATCTGAACCATATTTTTGTTGTCATGAATATTAAACTAATTTGTTGCTATTGATAAAACAAAAAAAGAAAAAAAGTAAATTTGTAATTGTTAAATTTAGAATTCATGATATTTTAGAAGAATTACATTTAATGTAGGTTACAAAAATAAAAAAAAGATGATAAATTCCAAGGAGTTTTAAATGGGGATTTAAAATAGTAAAAAGAATTAATGCTTTAGAGCATTTTCTTTATAAATCTCACTTTAAATTCAATTGGATTTTTAATTTTTTTTTTTTAGAATTATTAGTTTCGTAAATTTTGCATTCATTTCATTGTTTTTTTTTTTTTTTTTGGATTTGAGAAAAGAATAATTAGATAAAGTGTAAAAATTTCAAACAAACAAATAAGCCAAAAAAAGAACTTTAAGAAAATATAAGTGAAAGGAACAGAGAGAGAAAGAGAGAAAAGAAATGTGGATCCATTGATAACGATATTAATAGAAGTTAGTTAATTAACTAATGTTGAAACATTATCTGTGTAACTTGAATAGAATATTGAATAATTGTTATTATTACTATTATTATTTTTCATTAGTTAATATTAATTGAATTAGAAATTTCTAGTAAAAAAAATAATAAAATGTATTAAATTTCATGAAAATTTATTTTTTTAACTAAAAAAAAAATAAATGGAAATTTTCGTTTAATCGAAAGAAAAAAAAAAAATGTTATGAGAGGAAAATCTGATGAATGAAAAGAAAAGGTTAAAATTTTCCTAAAAAAAAGAAGGAAAAATGATAGAACCGAACATCTTCTTTCTGCCCATCGATCAATTACCATATAAATTGCCCGTTTGATGTGAAGATGAAATAATAGTTAGTTGGTGTCATATATCACATTTCAAATTTTAATAGATATTTAGTGATTCATGACTAAAAGATATAAAAAATTTTCTTTCATTCTCTTTTCCTCAAGTTTTTAGAAGAAATTAATAGAGTGAGAGAGAGAGGGGGACAGAGAGAGGGAGAAAGAGAGAAAGAGAAAAAAAGGTAATCAATTGACCATAACGAAAACATTTATAAAAGATGGGAAATAAAAAGAAAGTATTATAATATTTTAAATGACAAAAAAATTTTCTTTATTCAGTATAAGAATTTTATTTATGGTAATAAAAAAACAAAAAGAGAACTGAAAATTTTAAGTATGAAAACCGATGAAAACCTTCACATCTGAAAAAAAAGTTAGCGAAGAAAAACAGCTAATTTCAAGCCATATTAAAGAAAATTAAAAAACAAATAAATAAATAAGAAAAGAGAAAGAAGAAGAAATTGCTTCGATAAAATGTTGTGCAAATTAACGAGAAGCAGTGCAAAATAACAAAATGTTATATAAATTAACAAAATGCTATACAAATAACAAAAAATGCTACACAAATTAATGAAATAATGAATTTAATCTTAATATTTGAATGGATTGTTTATAGTATTTTAATAACAAATTAGTCAAATGACTTCTTAATTATTAGTATTCTAATCTTTTTTAAATTCATAAACAACGACTTCAATATACACACATCACTTGTTCAGCTGTATCAGATTATTATAATTTGTTTTATCATGCTAGAAATATTTTTAATAATAAAATTGCATGCTAGTCAATAAGCATCGAATATTTTACTAACGGAAACATTAAATGCTTAGCAACCAACAGGCTAAAGGTAAGGTAATGTACAGAAAAAGAAGGAGAAAAAAACAGAAATGATTATCAAATTTAAAAAACATGCAATTTCTTCCATCATTTGTTTATTTTTTTGCTCATCTAAATCACATTATAATTAAGCATTCCCAACAAATATATTAATTAAATTCTAAAATATGACTTTTTTTTTTTAAAAAAAAGGGTAAAAGAAAAAGGTGGTAAATAAAATGAAATATTGCAAAAATATTTAAAAATATTGTAACAATTAACAGTGCTTAATGTTAATAATATGCCTAAAAATTTATTCCTTAAAAAAGTATTTCCGCATAAACTTAAAAATGTATAATATCATATCTGTAGGAATTAATTTCATTTTCAATTTTATAAATTTCATTGATATTTGATTGATACTTTCATCGATACTTTCTGTCACTTTTCCAGATAATAACTAAAACATAAACAATAGATAAAAATTTAAAAAGCTAATTAATTTGAATGATAATTTGTGTAGAAAATTTATCAAGAGGTCTATTTTAAAAGGATTTAAGAAAAAGTTGAAGAAATAAAATAAACAATAAATGAATGACAAACATTTTCTCTCTGTCACTGGAAAATTTGATATAATAATGAATACATGTCAACAAATAGGTGAAAAATTCATTGAATGAAAATGATATAAGTTTTTAGCATTATTCCTGAAAGTTAATTATTAGCTAGAAAGAAATATACATAAATACGAAGTGAATGAAAAATTTTGTGAAATGAAGCGATTATAAAAAGACGAAAAAAAAAATGGGCGCAAATTGAGTGCCATAATTTTGATAAGCTAATGAATTTTTTTCCTATCTCTATCATATTTAAATATTATATTTACTTACGATAATTTTTTTTGTGGTATGTCATTTTAATATTTAATTGCTAATACCTATTACTAACTAATCATTATTAAGAGAAAAATGAATTTTTTCAATTTATCTATTCATTACTCTAATGTTTACGTAGTATAAAATTAATAATTTAGCTAATGTAAGTATAATATTCTAAGAAATTCTTTAGTTATATAGTATTTGGTTAAAATGAAAAAATAATAATCAATGCAAAAAAAAAAGTGGACAGGTCGTAGGCTATAAAAATTAACTTTTACTCTTTGTTAGTTTATATTAAAATTGAAATCGATTTTATAAAAATAGTACGACCTAAATAATTAATTATTTTTGCGAGAGATGAAGCTAATAAATGGCATTATACTCAAAATTGGTTGTTCTTTTTGCATTGAATACTCTGGACATTTTGCTGTTTGCATTAGCAAAAAAAAAAAAAAGATTATTTGAGACATAAAAGAGAGGGAGAGGAAGAGAGAGAGAAGAAGAAAAAAGCAAATGGGAGACATTTTATAGAGGATGATTTCACTGACATTTTAAATTGTCATCACCAAAAATGGTTAATGATGTGAAGTGAAACACTTAGCAAACAAATTTCAAAAAAGAAATTTAATTACATTGAAATGGCCTAGTATTTTTCATTCAGTCAACAAATCATAGTTTTATAATTGATAAAATATGTATAAATGTAATTTGAAAAATAATTTCTGAGTTTAATTAAATTTCATAACAATGATTTGATAATTTACTTAGCTTCATAGCTATGCAAAAATTAAAAAAAAAATCTTTGTAATTTCATTTTGATCTTTGAGCAAAAAGTCTTTTAATTTAGCCGACAAATAGGCGTATTGTCATGGCTACTCTTAAAAAAAAAAAAAAAAAAAGGCTTTAAAAGATATATTCCATTCTTCACGAAGAGATATTCAAATATGCATGGAAGACTTAGATATACGAAAAAAAGATTTAATAAATGTAATCAAAATTGAAAAAAGAATTTCAAAAGTGTACTTAAGTTTAAAATATAAAAAATACTAAAATTTATTGGAGAAATTAAAAAAATATAACTGGATAAATCAGAAATTTAGGACATTAACGATAATATATAATCAGAAATATAGAAGATATATAATAGTAAATAATATTTTAAGCAAGCGAAATATTTTTCCTTCTTTTTTTAAATAAACAATAAGAATTTATGAATGGGGAATTATTTTAATAATACTGCTAATTTATTGATTATTATTATATTATAAAATTTAAGAATTTTTAAAAAAAAAACTACAGAGTGTTTTAAATAAAAATTAGGAAAAGGAAAATCATATTTGTCAATAAATTTAAAAATAGAATATAAAAGAACAGATGGTAGCATTGTTAGCGATTGTGATGAATGATTTGTTAGCATTTCAAAAATTAGCTAATAGCTGATGTTTTAGATAGAGATGAAAAAAAGAAAATTAACTGATACAAGGATTGTATTAGATTATTTTTTGATTATGATAGATGAATTTAGTGACGCGAAACGTATCATTCGATTGATTCCCCTAAAACATATTTTTTTACTTTCCGTTAAATTACAAATGAAATGAATAATAAAAAAGAAAAAATTCTCCATTAGCAAATTCATAGATAGAAGTGGTAATAAAAAAAAGGAAATTTAGTTCAATTTCTTTTCTTCTAGCTAATTCCAGCTAACAGATAATTCAGAAAAAAAAAAAGGAAATTTTATTAATATTAGTAAAATGAGGAAATATATTAGAATGAATTAAAAAGATTGTTTAAAATTTTTCCTAGCAGTTTAATTAACAATAAATTAATGTTACATGAATAAGTTCATTTTGCTATTATATACATTATCATATATTTTTATCGCATTGTTATCATATACACATTACTGCAATATCATGAAAAAGTAGAAAAAAAATTCAAAAAATAAAAAGAATCACTCTCTTCTGTGGTGCTAATTAAATTTTATGGTAAATAAATGTAATGAGCAAAATTTTGAAGCAATTCAAATATATGAAAGAATCAGTTCAAAAAAAAAGAAAATAAGATAAATGATAGTTGTAATAATAATGATAAGTTGTAGTTGAGTAAAGTGTACCTATCAGCTTGTCATATGCGCCTATCAGTTAGTTATCATAATTATCAGTTATCTGATCAATGAACAAAATGTTTGCTAACTTTCGTAGTTTCCATCAAATCTTGATAGAAATTTCCATCAATCTTGCACTGAAGGGAAATATGACAAATTTTAACGCTTACATAACAATGCTACTACCTTGCAATTTGTTTTAATAGTTTCGATGAAATTTGATGTCATAACGACAGAAGAATAAAAGTAAGCTTAGTTTAAGCAAAGGTGAATTTCGAAGAATACACATACACACACACACACATACACACATATATATATATATACATACACGACAAACAAGGACGCACGCACACATTCAAAATATAAAAATATACGCCAAGCAAACACGTACGCACACGCATTCAATGCATAAATGTGTAAAACAGATGACATTAATGCTTCGCACTTCAAGAATAGGGAAGGACATCGAGAAAAACAATGACCTACTCCCATCAGAATGATTCATTCTAAGCGGTGCAAAGTAATGAGTAAGCTTGCATGAACTGACTCATTTGAAGAGATCTGAATTTGCATATATATATATCAAGAATTGATAATTTAGTTTACCATTTGAATGTTTCATTCATTGTTAGTTTTGATTCAATGAAATGTAAAAGAAATGCTTCATTAAAAAAAATGAATGAATTTATTTAACTATTAAAACAAACATCCTATTATCATTATATCATTCAAATATGATTACGACCATAACATAATAAAATTTAATCGAAATATTTGAATTACTTTCTCTTAATAAAGTTAAAGTTTATTATCATTCTAGTAAATTAGCAGTTTTTCAAAACAGATAAATTGTAAGAAGTAAAAAACTTTTTTCTAAGCATGTGTTTAATATTGATCGTTAGTTTAAGCATAAAAAGTTAGTGCTATGTAAGGTTTAATAATATAGGTAAATTTTTAATAAGTTATAGTTTTTAATATTTGAATTATATCTCTTCCTATATAGAGTATCCTATTCATTTCTATTAATTAATCTTAATTTACTGTAACTTCATTTTCTTTCTTTTAAATATTAATTGTAAAAAATTATTTGGAGAATATAGTTTCATCATATAATAATGCAACAGCTTATGCGAATGCAACAGCTTATGATGAAGACTAACACAAGCAAAATTATTTATTTAAAAAACATAATTACCATTGCAAAAAAAAAAAAAAAAAGGAAAAAATTAAATAAGTGATCAAATTTATTAAAAGATCATTTCCTATACTTGCGAAGTGATCTTTTGATTGATACTCAAATTATGCGATAAATTCATCGAACTCTTTTGCTGTTTTTGTTGTTGTTGTTGTTGTGATTTGGACTGCTCCTATTAAATAATAAACAAATTATCTCAAAAACTATTGTTAGTAACTTCCTTCATTACATAACAAATATTTCTCAATAACTAAAAATGAATTATTTAAATTAAATTAAATTTTTGAGTAGTATTTGTTTATTAGTAAACAATCCGTTTTTTTTTTTTAATTTTTAATTGATCCTTTCTTTTTTCCTAAAAAATTTCGTAAATTTTTAATGCATTAATAATTATTGTTATGCAATAATAGATTAAAATAAAGATTAAAATGCAATATTTTTTTTTTTAAATTAAAAATTTTTTAAAATTTTAGTACTATATTTGATACAACATTAAATATTTCAAGAGAAAAAAAAGTTGCCTTTTTTCTAAAATCAATGGGACGTCGTTTTAATTTCTCAGTTGTAATTGATGAATTATTATTGGATATTGAAGTTGTTGCAATTTGATTTTCAGTACGAATTCGCATTGATGATACTTTTGATGAAAGCGATAATTTAGTAATAGGTGATATTATGCGATGTTGTGACATATTTGCAGGTGATTCCGAATTACCTCTTGTATGTTTTACTTTTTTCTAAAATAGTGTTTTTTTTTTTTAAAAAAAAAGTTGCAAAGTTTTTTTTTAAAAAAAAATTAATTAAGTAATTTTAAATTCATCCGTCCCTTTTTTCTTTTTTTTGATTAATAAATTTTTGACTAAATTTATTATAAAGATGGAAGTTAACCTGTGTTCCATGAGTTAATGCACTATTAGGTCTTCTTATCACTGATTCGGATGTGTTATGAGTTTGGCTTTGTTTTAACATTGGCCTCACAACTGATTTTGGCTTATTTTTCATCTGTAATAATTATCATCCATTTATGTTAGATAATTTTGAAAAAACAAATCATAAAATATAGCTATAACGATTAATCTTGGCCAGAATGTGTAATGAGCCTAAGCTTAAGTAAATGCTCTAGATCAATCGATATTGATGCTTGCAATTAGTAAGCATTATAAAAGCTCACAACAGATATTTACTAGTAAAAAATTTTAAACCTGCAAATTATTCCAAAAAAAAAAAACTTGCAAGATAAAATCATACAAATTAATCAATTAGTTTTATTTAATGCTAACTAAATCCCACAAATATCAAGAATTGACCTTTTCAGATAACAGATGTGGCGTTGTATCAATACTTGGTAAATCCATTTGATTTTGTGTTGTTGCGATCACTGTATGTGTTTTCTGACGCCCAAAAGACTATCGAAAGATTTTTTTTTTTAAATTGAAAAATGGAACTTTTAAATTTAAATAAAAAACGATGTATGACAGAAATAAAGTCGAAAGAGTAAAGTGGCGTATGATGGAAATGAAATAACTTAATGAAGTTTAAATTTCATGATCGTTTCGGATAAATTTAAGCCATAAAAGGAGTACGAAATAGCAAAGAATAGCAAATATGGAAGTAAAAGTAAAGGTAATATTGCAATGAATGCAAAAAATAAGCATATATTATTCATTTTCATTTAAACATTAATAATAAACAAAGAGATTAGATAATTAGGACAATTAGATAATGATTAATAAAACAATTAATATACCTTAAGATTGCTATTGTCTTTTTCTGCTGAATGATTCATTGAAGCAGCTATCCCATATCGTTTAGCATTTGCTTTACTCTCTGTAGTTTGTTCTTTTCGACGTGGAATTTTCGTTTTACTCAAATTTACACCCAAATTTTGATCCATCTGATGTGATATTGAATGATTTGTGCGTTCCTTCATACTATGTGTTCTTCTATGTATCTACAAAATGAATAATTACCTGTTGAAATTATTAAAACTTGCTTAAATGTTTTACAGTTCTGTCATTAATTAATTAATTAAATTTAATTGAATACTTTCTCTTTCATTGAATCGATGATGCATTGTGATTCATGTGGTTCACGTTCTTCCACTACCTAAAATTAATTGCTGCTGTAAAATAATTTGTTAAATTAAATTAATTAACTGATTAATTGAAAAAAATTATCTAGAAATTAGTTACCTTTTCACACAATGAAAATGGCCGTGAACGATCCAAAGAACGTGTTCTCTCCTTATAATTAGTAGCATTTGTTACTGTAACACCAGCGCTGGACGATCGTTTATAAATCTATAAAGAATTAAATTTTTTTTTGAATTAAAAAATAATCAAAAAATTACACTTTTTTACAAAGCACAATTATACTCAATAAATATTATACTAGTAATATCAGGAATAATTTTTGAGTATATATGTATATATACATATAATCTACCTTATTTAAGCTAGAAAGTTTTGGTGGTGGTGCTCTTGCTTCACGCATTTCCACAAATAAACCATCTATAAAATTAACTAAATTGTAATTAACAATCTTTTCTTTCATTTTTGTTTTTTTTTTTTTTTTTTTTCCTTCAATACTAATTTATTAAATTTTATTCTGCATGCAATCTTTTCTTTCATTTTTGAAAGAAAAATGAAAATATTAAAGTTTCATATTAAAGTTGAAAAAAAAAAATTAGCAAAAAACTAACGTTCTTGTATGCGATACTGCTCTTCAACACTTAATAAATTCCATGTTTTAGCTTTTACAACAGATGCTGCATAATGTAACAAATGCTTATCAGTTAAATCATATAAACGTCGTATTAATGCTATAAATCGCTGTAACAAAAAGATTTGATAGAGATTAGTGATGAAATTCAAATCTGATTAAATAAGCCTAAGGAACAAATTTTCTTATCATATCAATAACATTCATTGCAAAATGTTTTTATTTTTTATACGAACTAAACATATTTATTTAATAATTATTTGTAAAAAAAAGTCAGTACCAATTATAATTAATGAATAGTTTAGGTTTATAGTGAAAAAAAAAAAAAGAAAAAAAAAAACATTTGTTTAGAAAAGAAATTTTTAATAAAAAAAATAATGGAATTGAAATAAATTAAATAGATCAAAATTGTCAAAATGAAAATGAAACGATTAATATTTATTTCAAAATGCTAATGTATATTTGTAATATCATCAAAATATTAAAAAAAAGTAAATAATTTCAAATTTAAATTAATTTACTGGATTCCACTCATCGTGATCAATTTGTCGTACAGAATTTTTGTATGTTGATTGTTGGCTGATAATAGTTTTTAGCAAATCACCAAGATTTAGGTATGTTTGTATTGCAATATCAGCTGATAATGCATGTATCACTGGTGGTAATATATCTTCTAATACTATTAAATTTAGTGCCAAACCCTATAAAATTTAGTTTTTTTTCACAGAAAAAAATGCCATTTTTTTTTTATAATTTTTAAAATAATTTTCAATCAATTTTTATTCATTTTTTTCCCCTAAAAAAAACTTTATGAAATTCTTTTTTTTAATTTTTCTTTAATTATTATTATAATACTTACTTTACCATGAGATTTAAAAGAATGTGATGCAATGACAAGATCAAATGATTGCAATAAAAATTCCTGAGTGTATTCAATAAGATCATTTACCAAATATTGCACTGCTGCTGCAACTGCAGCACTTGATTTTGATCGTGGTAATGATACCTAATTAAGAAAAAAGAACAACAAAAGCAATCATTTATTAGTATTATCATTATCTTTTCAATTAATTTAAATAAATTTATTTTACAATTTAATAACTGCAATTTATCAAAGAAGATATTTAAAGAAAGTGAAAAAAACATAAAATAATTATCGAAAAATTAAAGTAAAAGAAATTTATAGACCTGAAGTCTTTGACAGCCCAATAATACATCAATTAATGACTCTTCATCCTAAATTTATAAATTATTTCCAAAAAAAAAACAGATCATAATTTTTTAAGAAATTAAAATATTTTTTTTTTGCTCTATACTTCAACAAATTTATTAACTCTCCTTTTCTTTTTTTTACTAATTACTTGGTTTAATTCTAACCGGAAATTTTCAAATTCAAGTTAATGCTAAGACTAAAATTTTGACTTTTTTTTAAAAAAAAGAAAAAAAATAGATTGCTTACAAGTTCTTGTACAATTGCTTCAAAACATTCTTTTTGCCAACGTGGATTTAAATGCATAAATACGCGTCCTTTCCAAATACGTGAAAAATGTTTTGCTTGCCATGATAAAGCCTTTAAAAAAAAGAATATTTTTTCAAGAAAAAAAAAATTTGTGAACAGAAAAATAAATAATTGTAAACCTCTTTGTAGAGAGATTGTAAAGAACGTATTGCATTAAATTGTGGAAGAGCGTCAAATATTGCTGATACACAGGTAGCACATGGCTATAAATAACTTTATATATTATTTCAATTTTGTTTTTTTTCTTCTTAACTTTTTTAATTTTTTTCCCTCTCACTCTGTCACTTTCTCTCTCTTTTTTTGTCACTATTTATAAAAATTTACTCGGAAAAATTTTAAACGAAAAAAAGAATCTACTCAAAAAATTATAAACAAAACGAAAAAACACAAACTAATTCATATCTATTCCTTATCAATTTCTAATACAGTAATATTTTCAGACATAAATTTATTGCAAAAAAAAAAAAAAAAAAAAAAAAATGATTTCTAATATTTTCAAATAAATTAATAGAAGAAGAAAAATCTAATTTCTAATATTTTCAATAAATTTTAAAAGAAAAGAAATCCAATTTCTAATATTTTCAAGTAAATTATTAAAAAGAAAAAGAAGGAATTTACACGATGAAAGAAATGACATTTGGTAGCTCGAAAATGAAGTATAATAATTTGTGTAAGACTTTCCATATTTAAATGAGTAGCTAATGAAATAAGTTCCCAAATATCTACATCTTCACCAACTGATGTCAAGCCACCATATAAAAATGATATGAAATAATGAACTGCAGTTCGAGAGTATCTTAATTAAATAATTAATTAATCATAACAAAATAAATATCACGTTTACTGCTAAATTGTTTGTTTAAAATTTACAGAACTAATCAAATTTAATTGATTAAATTAATAGTTATATGTACTGCTTGTTTCAAATTTGTTATTTATTTATCTATTTTTATTAGTTATTGTATATATCACTTATAGTTAACATTTAGAATTACTAATGAAAATAACAAAATATAATAAAAAATAAAAATAAAGAACAAAAATACATATAATTTCATTTATCAATTAATTTAAATAATATTTAGTTAGCTATCTTTTTGTTTGTATCAATAATGCAATTACTATCATAAAACAATTTCATCAAATTTACCCCTTCAATTCGATGCACTCATATTGACGATTTACTAAATGATCTTTGAAATATGGACAAGTAGCCGATAAAATGCACCTAAATTGCTGATAAAATCACAACCAAATAAAAAAAAAACAACAACAGTCATTTTTAATAAATGGAAAAAAAAAAAAAACAGAATGAATTCGTAACATTTTAAACATCTTGTTTCTTTTTTTTAAAAAAAGTTAACAATATGTAACAACTTTACATTACAGATAAGCATTAATTCATTGCTGATAAATATAAAGTTATCAACTGAGATTTAATCAACAAACCGATGTGCGAACAGCTCTCCATTATCAGTCTTGATAACAACATCTGTATCAATATTATTGAGGTACATATTTAAAAGATCTGCTGCTAATTTACATGAGGGTTTTTTATCCGCTGTAGACATAAACACTGAAATATTTCTTTAACTTAATATAGCTTCTTATTTTTCAACAGTTTAAACTTAAAGAATAATAATCAACAAATAACTGATACAGCATTTCATTATGACATAGGCTTATTGGCAGTGAACATTGCAAATATTAAAGTATTATACTGAAATAATGTTTAACCGATAAGTAATCTGTTTAATTTATTTTGTTAAATTATATTTAACTTAAATTTATGACACAAAAAAGAGAATTCCCCATAAAATTATGTTAAAAAATTATTATACCCTCTTGATTAGGTGTTAAATCAATAGATGTCAACGAATTTAACGATGTCATAGATAAACGCTTGGCCATTATTGCCCGATTACGAATACCTTCTGGTCCTGGAGCACTGTGCCACATTTCAGGATCGGTATCACCTGAAAATCTTTCTCTAACAATTGAAACACATGTTCACTTCAATTTTTTAACTGGCATTTTCAAAAAATATGAAAGACCAGAAATAGATACATAAAAAGAACTGGGCTAAAAGTAGCAAATAACCTTCTAGGCCGACAAACATTTGAAACATATGTTTCTTTTGCGCAGATGTCACATACTCCATCGAAGTACTTTCATTAGTGGATGTACAACTAATATTACTTGTTTCAGCGAATTTATTCACGCAGATAAATGATGCTGAAATATTGATGAATTGTTAAAGTTAATTGCAAATTAGAGAAAGCAGAAAAATTTAATGATAATAAGTTAATCACATAGTAATAGATAATAACAAAATAATAATAATTAATAATAATAACTAATAATAGTAATAAATAATAATAAGATAAGAATAAGAATAATAAAGACATGCAATACAAAAAATAAATTATTAAATTTTATCAAACAATCTTGATGAAATTGTTTTATTAGGATGTAATAATGCTATAAAGCGAATATTGCAACTTATGAGAATTTGCCTGTGAGGCATTGATCAGTGATTGATAAAAATATAGCATTGATCTGAAAGTGATTCAAAATATGAATAGAAAAAAAAAAAAAAAAAATAATAATAAAAGTAACATACGACTAGGTGTGTACTCTTTCAATGGACGTTCACTGGAATCTTCCCGCATTGATGTTGCACAGCTTCCGCGTAATTCTGATGATGATAATGAGGTACACATCGGCGAATCCACAGCAGCTAACTCTTGAAATGATGTCATTTCTCGTAATCGACCAATATTTTCTGTTGCCACATTTACTTAAATTTTTACTCCATTTTATAAGAAGATTTAAAAAAAAAAGCTTGCTGTATACTTCATTAAAATTGAAAAAAAGAAAAAAAAAAACACAGTGCTAATCATAAGATTAAGTATGTTTTTGATATGAAATAGTAAAAAAAAAATGAAAAGAAAAGAAAAAATTCAGCGAATGTAAAATGTTAGTTAATGAATAATTGAATAATTCAAACATTACTTGTTTTTTGATCATACAAATTTATTTATTATTAGAAGTTTACCAAAATAAAAATATATGATTATAAGTTGTAATTAAAAAAAATTGCAATTAATAAAGACTAATATCATAACTTAAAAGTTTTCTTGGTTGAAGATGGTTTATTTTTTATTTTTTTTAAGCCAATAAAATTTATTTTGAATTTTTTTTTTTTTGTCAACAAATTTTTTTCAATGTAATAAAATACATTATCGTATTTGAATAATGAAAAAAAGAACTTCAACCACATATTCTTCCGTAAGTGTAACGTATCTTTCCAACTGAAATATCTATTGCTTCAAAAAAAAAGTGAAAAAGCTTGTATTGGTTTAATATTTGGAAAATATCATATCAGACTATCTGATGATTCAATTCGTAGATCAGGTCGATTCGAAACTGATACGAGCACTTAAAAATATATTTTGCCATAATATTTTTTCTATGATTCAAAATTCAAAATTTTCGCAAATGCTATACTTTTAAATATAATTGCATTGAATGTTACCATTCAAAATGGAAAAGAAAAATTCAGGATTTCAAGAGCTTCGGAATTCAATTTAATCTTTTTTTTTTCTTTTTTTTTTCATAAATTAAAATTATTTATAAGTAAATTAAAATTATATATCAATTAGCAATTAAATTTAGTGATTTTATTTAGTTACAAAAAATAATGATACACTTTTTACAGTCTTTTATTATATCACTTTAAAAAACAACAATTTAATAACTAATTGATAAAATTTCGAGTAACAAAAAGCTTTATAATATAAACAACACCTTCCCTTGGTTCATATTTAAGATGTAATAAATATGTAATTCATTCATTTTCTTGATTTGTTATTATTCCCTTGATAATTTGTCCTAGGCTTTATATCTTTTTTAATATACAGCACTTATCTGTTTCATTCCACTTTCACCAATACTATTAAGTCTCTCTCTCTCTCTCTCTCTGTTTGCAAATAGCTCATTATACTTTTTTTCTTTAAATTAGCAGATTCTGTTAATAGTAAAGCATAAATTGTTTATAGAATTATTCCTTCAATTTTCTCTTATTTTAATGTCAGTTAAAATTTTGCTTTTTAAGCTTCAAACTAATTTTTAACTTATTTAATACATTTTTACCTATTGACTTACTTACCACAAATTCAAGCTTAATTTTAAATGCATTTAAAATTTTCCAGATCACAATTTTTAGCAATGCTAAATAGATAAATATTTGAATTATAAACAATATATTAATGATATTTTAGCAATATTAGCTTTTAATAATGAAACTTTTGAATAGCCAATGATGAAATAATTGTTTCACTCCTGCATTACTTGTCAAATTAATTACTAATCAGTTAAATATGTTATTCAAAGAGGAAAAAAGCAGTAGTTTTTTGTATAAGCAAACAAAAAGCAAAAGAAAATTGAAAAAAAAAAAAAAATTAATAAAAAGTTTGCATATTAGTTCAAAAATATAATTTGAGGATTTCTTCTTTTTTTTCTAGCATATAAATATATAAAATGCTTGAAAAATTATTATTCATTAAGCATTTTATATATTTCAAAATTTAAATTTACATATTATAACATGTTTTCATATTGTTTCACGCAATATTAAGTGGCAGATACATACGATGGTGTTAGACATTATAATAATATTAAATAGTTATTTCGAACCCGTATTAACCAAACGATGTTGACTGGATATGGTAGCAACAGATGATGGTTGTTCCAATGAATCATCCCATCTTTCATTATTACCTTTTGATAATTCCAATTCATCATTAACCTGTGGTAAGCATTGCGTACCTATGTGCATAAATTCATTTGACTCATCCAAATTGTAGGTGTGATGCAATTCATTACCATCTATAAGCATTTAATTTAAAAAATTTCATGCTTATAAGCCGTAAAATAGTAAGCATTCATTTGTTATAGATAATACCAAGTGAATAAGCATATTTTATTATTTGTTAGTTATTTTGCTCGATCAATAACTCAAGAAAAAAAGAAAAGAGGAAAAAAATAGCACGAATTCATAACAATTTATACACGCATCCAAAAGGTTCGAAAATTAACTATTTTTAATAATAATAAGTTAATCAAAATATTAGTAATTAGTAAAAATAAATAATGATGACAATAATAATTAATAGTAGCAGTAATAATAATAATTGGTAATATAATAATTGGTAATTAATAATAATAAAAATGAATAAATGATGATAATAATAATTAATAATAAAAAATTAATAAACAATAATGATAATAATAAAAAATAATAATAGCAATGGTTATAATTAATGATGACAATAATGGATAATAATAATAAACAATGAAATTGAAAAAATAAATCAACCTTTGTCATGGTCAACATGCCCAGCAGGTAGATCCTGGTCAATGATACCACTTGCAGGTAGCTGTAATGCTTCATCTTCCGTATACACAGCTCTGTAGATAATCAATACATTTAATTCCTTTAATTTAAAAATTCATGTAAATATGATGGGAAGTCAAAAAGAGAAAAAAAAACCATTTGTTACTTTTTTGCATAATTTTAACACATGCAATCCTTTAATGTAAA